CTTTCTATGTTGATTATAGAACCGACATAAATTCAAGTGACATAAAAAGTAGAACTTCTTATGTCTGGTTGTTAAAAAACCGACATAAAATGTAGATAAGTTCACTTAAGTTATATGAAAAATCATTCACAAAAGAAAAAATTTACATTAGCAATCGCATATACTCAATTAAACAAAATCATGGAATATAAAATAATATAGAAAAATGAAACCATGCTTTCATAATACCTTTGTTGTAAATGAAGAATAAGTAAGATTGTATGAAGTGTCGGTGCAAGGATGAGAAAGATAAAAGTATATAAATTTGATGAGGCAACTATGAAACAAACGAAAGAAGAAGTTAGGGGGAGTTCTCTTACGTGGAAAGACAAAAATGAAAAATGATGAAAGTAAAGAGGATAAAACAAATATGAAAAATTTAAATTTGAATATTTTTTTTATGTTGGTTCAATTTTGAATCATCATAGTAATTATCAATTTTGAAATGTCATAATAAATATTTACTATAATAGTTTAAAGTTGAACCGACATAAAAAGTGTCAAAGTTTATAATTTACAAAGTCACTTATTATGACGGTTTAAAATTAAATAGACATAGAATATATTTATCGTGACGATTCAATTTTGAACCGATATAAAAAATATTTTTTATATCGGTTTAAATTTGAACGGTCATAAAAATAAGTTTTAATTACAAAATTGTTACGTCCAACTTATTATGATGAGTGAATTAAAATGTTATAATAAGTCATCATAAAATATTATTTTTGTATTAATGATAATTAATTAGGTAAACACCAATTATGTATTGTCATAGTAAGGTTGTTGACTTTTCTAAAAATTTGATGTTGATTTCTATTTAATTGACTATCTAAAAATCTTCATAGTTATATATACTATGAATATAAACCCTTAACATATTTTCATGTTACTTACCTAAAGGCCTAACTCAATTAACTTCAAAGATTCTCCTAATTGTAGCAATTCACCCATAGTCAACTTCACTCCAATCTGTTTCAATTATGTGTACTTTTTGTCCATCTTGCAACAAAGAAGCATAAAACAAGATCATTTGATAAATTTCTAAACAAGCATGTGCTTCATTCAAGCAAAACTTAAGAGGGTTTCTATAACTTATTCTATACCATATCTTTCAAGTTATCATAATGCAATTATTATAGTGCTAATCCATAGATAAATCACATAGACCATTTAACACAAAATTGAATTTGGTCAAATATATACACTTTTCACATAAAATTTATGTTTTATCTAATTGTTGAGAAAAAGGAGAGAAAAAAAATATGAACATTTTATATGTAGAATAAATCTTCTATAGTGAGTTCATGTAAGTTTAGCCAATAGCTATATCTTTTACATTTCTACATAGACATAGTTTCATCACTTAAAATTCACTCTAGTTTTCTTGCATCATCTTGAAGCTTTTTTTATACATTAACATTAGTTTTTACTTGGCATCAATTTTCTTAAATATATCTATCTATAACACAAGAGAAACATTTATGTTGGTGAAACACATAGACTCAAATATGTGCAAAAATAGAAATCTTGTGTACCTTTCCAAGGGTGTAAGCAAGAGAAACACCAACAATCAATAGGGACAGAGCATGTTGCTTGAGATAGAGCACATTGTCGGTCATCACATTGATGTCGAAGACGACCATACTGTTAGACAAACCTCGCTACTTTGGATACTGTTATTGTGGAATCGAGAAATATGATCGATTGGTAAATCGGTAAGATAGACAAAAGAAATCATTCGATGTCCAATTGGAAGCACGTAGTACATAACATCGAGAGGCACAATCGAAAATTGGGTGAAGGATAACCAAATGCTTGTTGTCGAATAAAAAACTAAGAAACTAGAATCATATGATGTTAAGGTTAAACCCAAAGCAATGCAAAGTGTTCGATATCATCGAATGCGAAGGAAACATGGACATCGAAACTCTGGACAAACCACAAAGAGAAGAATAAGTCAAACGCACGTATAGAAAGCGGTTCTGGGACCATGGAAGGAGTCGAAGATCGTGAGAACGTGGGAAACTGTAGAAAAAAGAAACCGTTATGCACGAAAGAACGTGGTAGCAGTCTTATTAACTGTTCCTGGAAGGCTTAAAGGAGGCCCTATAAATAGAGCAAAGAAAGAAGGAAAAAAGGGGGGGGGGGGGCAGAAATTGGCAGAAAACAGAATAAGTAGTGAGAAAGTCTACCGGAGAATGACGAACACCATGAAGCTTCTGGCAATCTGGATTTCCATGCTCACCGAGTTCATTTACCGTTTTCTGTATTTTCCTTGGTAATTTACGTTAATTGCAATTTGTGTTCAGTGTTTCATGTTTCTGTACTTTCGATTCATAGTCATTTCAATTCAATGAAAGTTTAAGTTTCTGCATTTAAGCTTCCCTGTCGTTTCACATTCTGCAAATCTCGATTTATTGACATTTACATTCCCTGCACATTCGATTTCCTGTCATTTAGTTTTCATGCAAACTTAACTTCCTACCATTTACATTTCTGTCATTTCCGATTCCTTGTCATTTACAATTCTTGCAAACTTGGGGTTCTCGTACTTTACATTTCCTCGCAATTTAACATTTTTGTTTTTTGATTCGATAGTTTTACTGTTTTCAGTACTTTAAATACAAAATACCAAAAATAGTTTTTTCGATATCTTGTGATTTTCGATTCTCATACATGTTTTCGATTGAAAATCGAATTGCTAGCCTAAGTAAAAAGAACTTACGTGGTAGAATTTTGATTAGGACCAAAATACCCTTAGGATCGAAATCGATCGAAATTCAACCGGAAACGGATACATAGACAGTGAAAGGGCTTAGCGTTTGAGAGTACACACTTTTGTTTCCTCACTCTAATCGGTCCTAACCATGGTGTCAGAGACGACCACGTTGCCAGAGATTGTCGTTGCTGCACTGCACTCGGATACCTTAATACTGGAACGGGTGAAAAAATCGAGCGAGAGAGTGACTCTCTCTTCAGTCTCAAGCTCATTTTACCCTAACTACTAACAAATCGATCTTTCAATTTTATAAATATTGTGTATTTTAAAATTACAAATTGAACCCTTATTTTTAATAAACTCATATTTTAACCCTAAGTTATAATTGATGTTTGCTTGTGTAAACGTGTCTTCTTCGATACGAAAATTTGCGATAAGAATTTAGTTGACAGATGCAAATTGCGAATTTGATGTCAATATTTTAAATTATCTGTTTTGGAAGCGGAAGATATTTTAGTGATAGTTTCTATTCTTATTTTACAAGTGAAAGTTGTTAATAATAAATATTAGTCATAGGACCTACATATATAAAGTTCTTATTTTTTATGGATTATTTCTTACATTACTTTTAATTTAAATATAAATATTTTATTAAGAAATATTCATATTCATAATATTAAATTAATAAATATAAAATATTTATATTTTATGAATATTTCTTAATTTGTTCATTGTATCTTGTGAAGACCTTTAATTTTTATTTAATATAATCAAACAGTCTAATAAACGTCAGTGCAATCTTACTGTGAAATTCCCTGAATACTTGATTTCAAGGTTGATAGTTCATTTTAGTTAAAATTTTATATTGGATAGAAATAAAAATTGAGTAATTTATAAATAAAAAATTATAACTTAACTTTTTAAGTTTTTAGGCTAAAAATAATATGATAGACACTTAAAATAAAGCATATAAAAAATACATTTACTATATTGTTATTGGATAAATTATATTAAATTGAAAAGATAGGTGAAATTAAATCATGCCTTGTAAAATTAATTAATAAAATAGGTTAAGTTGACTCATGATATTATAAATCAATATAAATCTAAAATGTCAATAAAAAAATAAAAATAAGAGAAGTAAACATTTTATTCATAATAAAACTTGCGAGAAATAATTAAGAAAAAAATCCTCATCATAATTTATTAAATATTATTAAATAAAAATCATACTTGAACCTCTAGGAACTTTTTATCGGAATGATATTAAAATGTTTATTCTTTCTCAAATTAGATAAAATAACATAATATTTTCTCCTCCTTGCTTTCTTTCTTCTTCTTTTTTTTTCTTTTTACGGATCTCCCTCTCCTATTTAGTTGTCAAATTGACAAATTTTTTTCTTCCTGAGTCTATCTAAAGAGTAAAAACAAATATAAATAAAATGAGACAAAATAAGAAAAATTTGTTTTTTTTTAAATTTTTATTTATGTGATTTTATAATTCTCTTGAATCTTTATTTTTATTTAATTATTTATTTTTAAAATTTTTCTCTCTATATATATTGGTTAATTTTTCAATATTGTATATATTTACATTTTTTATTTTCTCGTTTATATTTTATATAATTTTTTTTAATTAACTTTTTACTATCCTAATTTTTTGTAATATTTTTCTAAGTACCGAACAAAAATGAGAGTTGATAATAATATTATGATGTTAGTCTTGATTTTAAATTGAAAACATGTTCTCCATAAAGTCGATTTAATGTATTGAATTTTTACCCAGACTTGTATACATCAAGTAGTGATATAAAATTCCAATTCTAATTAAAAAAAATAGCATCATTGTTTTTTTTTTTTTACTTAATCGCAAGTGTTGAATGCTTCGTTGATTTGTTAGTTTTTTTCAATATAAAACTATACTAAAAATTACGAACGAGTGTAGTTTTGAACTGTATTTTAAAATAATATTTGTTTTTTAATTTCTTTTCGTAATAACTTATTTTAAAATTATTATAATTAAAAATAATGTTATAACAATATAAATTTTAATTTATATATTAAAAAAAAGTGATTATAAATTTAAATTATTTAAAATAGAATGCATATTCTAAAATACTCTATTGTTTGTGGACAAAAACGAAAATTACAAAGAAATTTCACGGTACTAACAATCAAACGTAAAACAGAATAAATAAATAAAAGTTGAAGGTAGGAAGAAAAGAAGAATATGAATGAATCAGGGATGCCATGACTTTGGAGAAGGTTTGAGAAAGGAGGAGGAGGAGTTAGGAGATGGAGGTTGATAATACTGAGCAATAGTGTAAACCGTCTGAACAATGGTAAGAGCGAAGAGAAAAACCGCAGCAACAAGCGAGACAATAGCCCAAGGGTTTCTGAAGTAAGTATGGATGAGATTGGCGCGCCAAATGTTCCAGGGTTTCTTGCAGTAGTTGCTCAGGCTCATCCTCACCACATCCAACACTCCTTGCCGATCCACAGCAATGTCCTTCGAAAGCGAGTTGAACAGTTTCGCAACGGCCTTATCGCTGCCCAGAGCGTTAACGAGAATCCCCTTCCGATGGAGAAGCGCCACGTACATCTCGCTGTCGATGATGGTGTCCATGAAGAATATGTAGGAGGTGACGTCGTTTCCTGCTTCGGCGTGGAGGCGCTCGAAGGCGATGAGGTTGAGGAACATGTACTCGGTGGTGTCGTCCACTACTAGGGTTGGGAGCCGAAGCAAGCCGTCCCCGAAGGAGACGTCGCCGAGGCTGTTGGTGCGGCTTTTCCTGAAGCGGATTCCGGCGTCGTGGAGCTCTGTGGCGGAGCGGATGATCTCGTCGTTGCCGTGCTCCTCCTCGCTCAGCCACAGCCTTCTTCTGCGTTTTGGTGTGGAGACGCGTGTTCGGTGAGTAGGTCCTTGATGTATGAGGCTTTTTCTGTAGACATCCAACACGTGCATGCATTTGCCTAGGGTTCTTGTTTCGGGCGTGCCTGGGGAGAAGAACTTCAATATTTCTTTCATCACTAACTCTTCTCCCTGTCATGTATTTCGATTTCTGAATCAGTTTTCACTGTTTAACAAGATTTAAACATGTTTTGAATTCGCATGGATTTGATTGACTTTCTTGTTATGAATTACCTGGTTTCTGCCATTCTGAACCTCAATCAATATTCGAAGAACCGTGAATGGAAGCTGATTCTCGAGCATAAGCATGTCGCGTTTGATATATGGCATCACATTCAGTTTCCCGTGTTCTCCAAACACAGGATCATTCTCAGCATACTCATCCGCAATACCATCATTGTTGACTCTTAAAATCTCCAACATGAAACACCCATCAACAATCATCATTTGCACGAACCTTGCCCTGTCCTGCATCCAAATCTGCTCCACTGGATTGTACGACCCTCTCAACTCTTCAGCCACTTCATCCACGCAATTGAAGATAAGCTCGATCGGCTTTTCGCACCTTTTGAGAAAATGAAGCAGAGCTCGATGCTTGTGATCTTCCATGTCCTTCAAATGCTTCTCACCATGGTGATAAGGACCAAATGACACCGCTTGAGGTTTGTAGGCCTTTTCATTCAATGCAGTCACTCGTGAAGGTATCTTGTATATGGAATGTCTCTTCCATTGCTCCTTCTCATGCACTGATGAGATACCATTTCTCTTCAGCTCCTCCTTGATTTGGACCACCCACTTCCTTTCTTCCATGTTCATGATGTCTCTCAGCTTTGATGTCCAATATCTTAGGTTCTGCTGGATATTATAGTAATGTTATGCACGTGGAAAGCAAGATAAAATATTCACGATCATAAGCCTCAAAGATATCAATGTCTAATTGGAATCTTCACTTTATGCATGTTAACCAACATAGGGCGTGAAGAAATTGTAATTTATAATTGAACATTTGCTTCTAATTTCTTCTTGGATTCTCGTTACCCCACGTATGAAGAAAAGAATGTATACAAGATTGTCACCAGCCATTAAAACTCAATTGTTAAGAGATTGGAAAGCTTGTTAATTCATTGTTATTTTGCATAACCAACATGGAAGATGTGTGAAGATGACTTAAAAGCAGAAAATAAAAATTGCATTTTGGACAAAAATAAGTAATTGTTATAATATATATCCCTTAGTAATAAAAAAATATACCACTAACTATAATTGTGTTCACCTCTCAGTTTTTTTTTAAATCTACAAACTTTTAATAAAACCTCATTTGATTTCTAAGTGTGGAACAAGTGAAAAAATGAATTGAAAATTGAAGGAAGCAGCGAACTGAAGAACTTGCTTGCGGCGGCGACGCAGAGTGCGACGGAGGCTCAATGTTTGCGGAAATGTGTCCGAATTGCGAAGCCGATTCCAGAGACTCCACCTGTTATCAGAGCGACCATCCCCTTCAGAATCCCTGCTTTGAAGTGGCGATTCCATGAGGTGAGATTCAATGATTGATGAGTTCTCTCAAGAGAAACTTTTGTTCCTCTGTTTTTATGAAATCCTGTTTGTTCCCTCTTTACTCAATTGGATTGTAATATATATCCAATTTTCATTTATTTGTATAAAACAAAACGGAATAATTTTTAATTTCTTTTCATCTCTTAAAACAATTAGTGGTAACATGACATTGTTTCGAAACATTGTAGGAGAGTAAGTTTTTATCGTTTTTTTTTAAGAGACAAAGTATGTATTAGTCAAAAGGAAAGAAAAACATTGTAGTATGGTATTCTAATTTTTATATAATTGCATGAACAAATGGGTGTTTACTAACTAGCATTATACGTCATAAAGTGAACAAAATTAATAAAAAAAAGTTTGTTTTCTAGTAATATATCTAATAATTTTGACACTAAACTAAAAACAATTAATTTATATCATCATGTTGATATTTTCTTCAAAATAAATAAATAAATAAACAGAACAGAATCCTTGTTCAATCTGTCAGTCATAAACTTGTCTTTTACAGCATCATATTCTAATATTTGGCAGCATCTGTCTTTCGGTGTCATGCTCCTTTATCCTCAACCTAATCCATCAATCATCATTTCCACCGTTACTTTGCTTCAATTCTTCTATAACCATTTTTTTTTCAAATATGCAGAGAGTTTTATTCTTTATGCATTCACACACATATACAGAAAACGCATGATACTAGTAGTTTTTTTGTAAGAATTAATAGTCGCAGGATTCAAGATTATGACTTTTTTTAACTTAAGATTCAAAAAATTTACAGATAATTAATATTAAAGATCAAAATTATGTAAAAAAAAATCAAATACCAAAATTAAAGATAATTAAATATTAATAGACTGAAATTGTAAAAAAAATTACAATTAAACACGTATTTTTATTTTTATTAAGTGTACTATATAAATTATTAAATTGAAACTCTAAATTAATTTAATGTGTGCACATCATATATTCCTATTATTCCATTTTGGCCCCTCTCTCATCTCTCTCTTCTATTTTGCATTCATTGTTGACGATCAAGGTCTCTTGTTCAACCTCTCAACAAACTAAAAACTGAAAGATCACCAAAGAAACCCTGTTAAAGTAAATTTGAACCAGCATGTCTAACAATAGACGCAGCAACAACAACCCTTATGTTCATATTTTTCCTCCTCCGACCAATCGTGAGTGGTTAATGTTTCAAGATACTGTGTTCTTCCCATAAATCCCTTTTTGTTTGATTAATGGCCGTTTATGTTTTCAGATCCAAACCCAATGGATACCGTATATGGTGCATTAAACCACTGCAGCAGGAAGGTTGGGGATGCAACTCGACGAGCTGAGATCATGGCTGATAATTTCTGGAATCATAGTGAGTTTGCCTCAACTTCCACTCACCTTTCTTGTCCTATGATAGAAGTTTATCCTTTTATTTGGGAAAGGTTCAATTAAAGTTTTGAACTTCATCTAATTATAGATTACTATGACGGTTAAAATAATTATTTCAAATTATCATATAGAGAAACAATACATGTATAGTATACACATACCTATGTTTCATATGCATCGTAATATGTGGTTTGATGGTTTTTTATAACCTTTCTAGAAGTTTGAATTCTTCACTATCATGGGTGAAGTATAAAAGACTATCCACATCAAATAAGTGAAGCAAGTAAAGAACTGAAGCTGCATAGTTAAAGGTCAATAATTTTAGAATGATAATATTTGGAAGACGTTGTAAAAATATGTACTCTTGTCTTGGCGTGGAAGCTGAATCCTCAAACTTTCTTACTAACCATGCGAGAAGATATTTCTATCTATAACTTACATCTATAGACTTAAATTCTAATGTATTATTATATATATACTGCAGTCAGAATGGGTTCTAGTCTTGCTGATGCAGCAGTAGCTAGAATTGTTCAAGGAACAAAGGTGCTTGCACTAGGAGGGCCTGAGGCATTATTTCAAGAATCATTCAGACTTTTCCCAGGAGAGAAGCTCATAAAGTCCTTTGCTTGCTACTTATCAACATCCTCTGGACCTGTGATTGGAACTCTTTATGTATCAAATTTAAGATTAGCCTTTTGCAGCGACTATCCACTGTGCCATTATCCATTCTCCCTGCAACAAAACCAGACTGTGCATTACAAGGTAATTGACTTGTTTCCTCGCAAAGTAGTTTGAATTGACTATATATGCTGCCCAATTGTTGCTAGTAATCTTCTGGCGCAAGAAACTCAGACAAACTGATGAGTTAAATTACATTTCATGAATTTAATTGAATGTACCAATTAGAAAGGGATTTTTGCACTGTCAAACTAATCATGAGTTTTTGTGCATGGTAACATTGTTGAAATTTATAATAATTATTTTAGTCTTATCTTGTGATTTGTAATGAATTGTACCTAGTCTTTTACCCTTGCACATGCAAAGGGATTTTCTCCGGATTCAAACTAATAACCAACTGATTACTAAGGGTACAACTTCAGTGTTGTCAAGACTCACCCTAAATTCTCTCACTACTTTCAACATCTATTTATTTATTAATAGTAGATTTTGTTAAACAAAGTATTAGCAGTAGTAATACGTGTGCATCAATGACATCACAGATTCATAAGAAACAACACTCACTCTGATTGCATTTGTATGTATATGCTGAAATGATTTAATAAATTTCTGAACAATGTATCCAGAGAAATCAATACACCTTGCTGAAACCTAATTGAGTTTTGTGTTTGTGGTGTTTGAAGTTTGCTGAATCGAGTATTAACAAGAGATAGGGAATAATCATAGTACTCAGTCACACACATTTTTCATATCATCTTCCAAAGATACTAAAAAGTAGACACCCTCCCCTACTTTTTGGGGATGCTCAACTATTCCGGATCTCCTAATCAAGGATGAAAGTTGAAAACCCTTTGAATTTCTGAACTGCAGCATCCCAAACATTAGGCAAGTTTTCTTGTAATCAAATCTGATATTTTGCGTGGTCTTACAAACAGGTCGTGGTGCAATTGGATCAGTTAAGCACGGTTAGTCCATCCTCAAATAGATTTAACCCTGCAGAAAAATACATCGAGCTTGTAACAGTGGATGGCTATGAATTCTATTTGATGGGGTTTATAGCATATGACAAGGCTCTCCAGACTATAAGAGAGGCTTTACAGCAATATCTCAACCAGTCCAGAGAAGCTTGAATGCTCAGGAAGCATAAAATATTTTTCATATATGTGCTAGACACACCTTTAAACTACAATGTAACCTTTATCTGCCAAATTCTTTGCTAACAAATAGCTGAGAAGTGAAAACTTATGTTTACTAAGCTACTGTGACTGTGACCTAGATTTTACGTACATGTATAATATGTTTATTAAGCTGCTGTGACTGTGACTTAGATTTTACTAAGCTACTATTGATGTTACCTTATGGGCCTTGATGGTAGAGAATAGAATTAAAGAATAATGAAATGTTATTACTAAGTCAACGAAAACATTCAAGATAGTGTCATATTTTGGAGTTTAATATTTTTGTTATGGTTTTATTTGTAAAAATATTTGCAAATGATGTTAAGTGGTCTCACGTGGACTATCAGAATACTCATAACACAATAACTATTCTTCCTCATTGAACTAGTTTTTATTAGTTAACTTAGTCCATTTCTAAAATAATATTTAACAAAAATTGTCTATATGATCCTTTGATCCATTTTTTTATTGAAAAAAAATATTGAATAACGATTATTTAAAACCCCAAACAATCATTAAACAATTCAAAATAACACTATACAATATTTTATAATACTATTTTGGGTTGGGTTATCTTATAATTATATGAATGATCAAACAATCATTTTTGAAAAATTTTACACAAAAAAAATCTATTTATCATCAAATTTTATTCTTAACTTGTATTTAACTTATAAAAGTCAATTGTAGTATTTTTTTGGAACTTTTTCCTCTCAAAGTTCTTCTAAACAAACTCGTACCGACTAATTACAAAAGCTGTTCTAACTAACTTCATAACTACTATCAGCAATAGTTTCTAGATACAATTCTTCCATTATCCATTCTCTGAAAAAGTAAAAATTAATATTGTACAACGTTAATCTCGCTATTCACTAACACTATGATCAACTCCTTGCATATGAATCTCAGCTTGTTCATCATCAAGCCTCTAGATATAGCTTTATCACTTTATTTGCCGGCACAGTCTTCGCCATCATCTTCAACTTTCTCTCTAGGTTCACCCTGCATCATGAACAATTTGGAGCTTTAACTTCTGTACACTTGTTCATAGACAATTTTTAGACTTGGTTGGTGGTAGACAATTGGTTTTTCATGAATTGTTAATTCGTCATATATTGAAGATTTAAATTCTTAACCTGCAGTAATCAAATGACAACATCAGAGCAGCAACTTCTTCCTAAATAAAGAGTCAATGTACAACCTGAAGCGTTTCACACATGAGTAACGTTCGTCTCTCTTCAGCATTTATAATCAGAAAAAGACAATAATGTCTTACCTCAAATATCTAATTTATTTACATCAATAATATCCCTTTCCTTGGAAGAGATTGCACAGAGAACGTAACAGTCAAAACAGAGTTTAAAACCAATGTGTTGCAGCTTTTTTTTTTGTCCTTGAAAAGACAACTCATACTTATAAACAACTAGAAGTGTCAATATGGGTTCTATCATGTAAACCAACCTGGCTCACCCCAGGCAAGAGCCAGGTTGGATTCGATTTTTTTTTTCGATTTTTATTTCATTTCTGTCGATAATGAGTTAAAAATGAATCCGACTCACTTAACCCATAAGTTAAGCGAGTTCGAACAGAGTTATGATGGGTTGACCCACAACCCACCATTTATTTTAAATTTTAAAAATAATTAATAATTTTACTTCATGTTTTTTTTTCTACCTCTATTCCATATTGTCACTACAAGTCAAACTCTTACTCAAGGTTATCATCAATAATGTTATAATGTTTGTCCCGTTTCAATTCTAGGTTTCAATCGCATCATAACTTGCGATAGTGTTTCAGTCTCGCATTTCAATCGTACCACAACGTTTGTCGCGTCACCGCATTCATCGCACCAGTGCATTCTTCAGATCACCACATTACTGTGTTTCAGTTGTATCATAATGTTTGCTGCATTTCAATTGCATTACAGAGCTTGTTGTGTCACCGCGTCATTATGTTCAGTCCCGCTATTCAGTTGTGCTTATTAGAAGAAAAAATATGGGTTAGTGAGCCAACCCACCAACCCGTAGTAGGTTGAGCCGGATTGTGAATTTTCTGGCTCGTCATAAAGTGAACCGGGTTGAGTTCACCTATTTTCAACTCAACCCGTGGAGAGCCAACCCGTGTGAGCCGGGTTGACTCACTTTGATACCCCTAAAACAACTAACATTATTAGTTCTCTCAACCCCTTGTGTTGACTTCTCAAGGGGCACATCACCATGCTCCAAATACTAAGCTTTATTATCTGATTCATAGAACCGGGAACCATCTCCTCCATTATCATCAATAACAACATTACTCACGTTAGGCTCACCCTACACCAAACCAATTAATTTATTATTTAAAAAAATCATGAATTTGAATTTTGTCATCTTAGTAAATAACTTGACAGTGTCAAAAGATAAGATACACAAGCAAAATTAATAAATAATACTAAATCATGGTATAATTGTTTTCTTGCTCTCTCATTAAGACAAAAACTAACAAAAAGGCATCCTAATTCAACAAAATCATAAACAAAAAGACAAAACTTAATGCAGTTCTTCAAATACTTTTAGTGCTCAAGCTAGAAATTCCATCTTAGTTATCCTTATATGCTACGGAATGTCGACATATGTTTATCAAATCAACAGCAGAATACCTTCAAAATAAATATAAGCTTTGTCCTAAATAAAAACACTCCAAGTTCACCTCAAAATCTTGACAAAAACTCTTTTCAGAGAACATCATAAAAAACACCTTGAAAACTTTATGTAAGGGTTGTCTAAACAATGACACCCCAAATCCACCTCAATGTCTTGATTAAAACACTAATACAAGAATAACCAAAAACACATTAAAAACCACATATATGTTTAGTCCTAAATAAAAGCATCCAATTTCACTTCAAAATCTTGACTAAAACACTGATAACAGGAAAACAAGAGTAAAAAATGTGTCTTAGTTCGTCCTAAACAGAAACAACCCAAATTCACCTCAAAATCTTTACTAAAACCCTAATAGGTCATACGAGAACATCACCCAAATTCTGAGTTAAATGGTAAACATAAACACGCCAAATCCACCTCAAAAATCTTGACCAAACTATTACCTCTGCCTCAGCAGGCTTCATCATCTCCAGCCCAAGAGGCTCCCCTTTCATCACAATGGTGGGAAGTCGATCAACATCCCAACCCAAAACCTTACACACGGCCATACCAAAGCCCCTGTGTACCCCTCTCTTCAACGTTCTCAAAATCGACATCGAATGCTGAAGAAGCGCAACACAGTCCTTAAACCTCTTCCCAGAATTTTTCTTCCCAATTGCCCCACACACCATGCAGCAAAACTCCCCACTTTCGAAACACCTCTGGTAGTACCCTCTGAGTTCATCGTCCTTCAAGAACAGCCCCACAAAGAACTCCTCAATCTCTTCCCATTCCCCATGATCATCATCATCTTCTTCGTCGTCATCATCAACATCAACATCATCACTCTTAGATAGAAACTCCTTCAGAGCTTTGCACGCTTTCTGCTGCGCTTGAACTGCCGCAAGCCTCTCCTTTTCTTGCTGAGACACGTCGGGACGAGGGGCTGGACCGGGCTTTGGCTTGCCCCAACCGGTGGACGGAACCGAGTCGGGTCGAACAGGAGACGGCCATTCTGGGTCGGGTCGTGCGGAGTTATCCCCATGACGACGCTTTTGCTTCTTCTTCTTCTTCTTCTTCTTCTTGAAGGAGGTGGAGGGGACCGGGGGGAGTGATCTGGTGCGGGCGGATGCAGGATGATGATGATGATGATGATGAGGGAGAACGTGGCACGTGTGTTGGGGTTGGGGAATGGGAGTGGGAATGACGGGGGTTCGTGGAGGACCTTGGTGCCAGAGAGAGTGGAGGTAGATCACTTCGTCTCTTAGCCTCTCTACATCGTAATAGGGATTCATCGTCTTCTTTTGGTTTCGAGCTATTTGCAGATTGAGAATTTGGAATGACACGACACAAACTCACAATGTTTCACTTCGATCGACGACGAGGGTTTCTTTCACTTCCTTACATAATTGTAACCTAATATTTGGAGAGACAAAAAGTATTATGTATATAATAAATAAAAAATATAAGACAATAAAGAAAGAAAAAAAAATTAAATAACAACAATTATCCATCAAATTGAATCGTCCTTTGCAAGTCTCTAAACAAACTTTCATAAGTCATCCCTGTTTCGTAACAAAAAAAAAGTCAAGAGGATTTTTTTCTTTTTAATATTTGGTTGTGACAGTTAGAAAAAAAAATATTTACAACCTCTTCTAAAAATAATATCTTAACAACTCTTTTCATTATTTTTTTTTAAATGGTACTAATATATTAAAAAAATATAATTTAAAAAAAATAATTATATAATAATCCAATTTTTTAATAATAATAATAAAATCCCTCGACAGACGTGAAACCCGATGTGGCGCGAAACTTGTTACATGTTTTCCCCCAAATTCTCTACTAAAACTCTACACCCTTAACGCCGCAGTAACTGTAATGGAACCATTCCATGCGGCGATTCCCTAATTTAGTCGTCGTCTACGTCCGTCGCCCTAGCCTCCCTCCACTTCTTCTATCCGTTTCCGCCGCCGCGTCTCCGTTACGGAACCGAAATCGGCCGCTGCTCAAGATGGCGCCGAGCGAGTGGATGATGGTGGAGTACGCGAAATCGAACCGGTCATCGTGCAAGGTGTGCTCCGAAGCTATCAAAGCCAAGACCCTGAGACTGGCTTTGGTCTCCAAGGGTGTTCAATACGACTTCGCCAAATGGCATCACCTTCGTTGCTTCCCTCTATCCTCTCATTCTTCTCCCTCTCTCCAGGCAATTAAAGGCTTTTCCTCCTTGGAGGTTTCCCATCTCTTCTCTTGCTTTTCCTCTTAACACTGCCTTCTACTTTTGTTTTCTTTGTATAATAAGGAAGTTGTATTAAACACATGTTAGGAGTCGCATGAGGAGTAGAATGAATTAATTAATGTGAACTTAAGTCTCGCTACTCTCCCATCTAATCAACTAGTGTTTTTGGTTGGAACTCCTCCTATGCTTAAGTCCTAACAATCTGAGATTCAATGAGAATTGGGTAAAGGAAACCTGTAGGATAGATTAGGGTGGAAATAGTATACCAATAGGTGAGTGAAACTGTCAAAGGGAAAAGAGATACCATCAGTCAATGTCGACATAGTGAAGCCACCATAGATATCAGACCCTTAAAGGAGTGACAAAGTTAAAAGTCTCACATTGAGTTAAATAAACTATTTGATCTCCCACTTAATAGATTAGTCTTATGGGTTAGATTTTCCTATTGTGCTTAAGAATTAACAAGACCCTCATATTTCATGACAATGAAAAAGTTATAGTTTTGAATCTACACTAACTCTTTCGATTAAATCTTGCAAACTTAAGACACTAAAACTAAAATCATTAAAATTCATTAAGAGTACGACTTGTGTGACCATTTTTAGTTTAGCTTAAGTTGAGTGTAAGACATAAATTTGGTATCACTAAGATTTGGGGTTGATGATTTTTATCTTTTTATGAACATTTGACATTTTAGAGGAGGGAAATTGATAGTTTTATAACCGGTAGACGTGTAACCTATTTAGTGTTTTCAATGCATGTTGAAGCTTTAATGAAGTTTTGCATGAATTTCGTTTTAAAAATTATGCCAGATAAGTGACCAGGAAGCTCTGAAAAAATTATTTGCTGGAAATGACAAGTCTGAAGAAAAGGTAATAAGTCAATTTGATTGATGTGTTTCTCTTTTAATTTGAATTTTTATTTTGTGTCTTATTGTTTAACTTGATTGTATTAGTATTCTGAATAAAAAAAATTCTTCTGAATTTTGTCCTAATTTAATCACTCTCTGGGTGTGTCTTGCACTTCTTTAATAGGTTTGTAAAGCAACAGAAGATATACAAAATGAACTGCAAGAGACTGAGGAACCTGATGCAAAGAGAATAAAGGTAAGTACAAACACCATGAAAGAGAGAGAATGGAGGGTGGTTTCATGCTTCATGTTAAGAAGGTTTTCAAATTTTTGCCTAACATAGTTTATTTAGCATTTCCTGCTCTGGGGTGTCATATAGTAATATGCAGTCCATTGTCTTTGTTATGCCATTCTAGATCTCTTGATCAGGAATTAAGATACTGTAACAAATATTAGAATTGTGGATTTGATGAAGAAATATGTTTTGGAGTGTTTTTCATTTTGTAATTATATGAAAATGAGAGCATTTTTTGATATTCTTAACTGTGACTGCCAAAAATATAAATAGTTGAACTTTATGCCCTCAAGTGTAGGTTTAGATTATTTCCAGGATTTATTTATGCTGGTTTGTGAAAGAAACATGGACCAACGGCCAATGTTGTTAGCATCATAAGCTATATTACTAGCTTAATGAATAGTTGGGATGTGGAACTTGTAACTTGAAAGAATGGCTTAACTTAGACATATATACTGATTGTTGTTTAGTCGTTTTTATAAACATTGTTTCTAAGATCAATCAGACCCTTTATCCTTTCCAACTTCCAAGGCTATCAATGTTGGGAAGCTCATATCGTCTTCCTCAATTATTAGAGTACGGTTTATATATTTGTTGAATAACTTCGCATAATACTAGTTAATTCTTATAGTTCATCTTGGTAAATTTTCCATTCTGATAGATTTGCTTGTTCTGGCATACATATGTGAAGGGTATCGTAAAATCTCACATATTTTGTCTTAATTCTTGGAATGTGTCACTTGAGAAACTTATTAGGGTTTCAATACAGTGTCAAAAGGCACTGTTACATTGTATTTATAAATAAAGTAGATACAACAAAGAGGATATGAGCTTCAGCCCAAACCCTTAACCCTAAGTCTAAGGAACATACACAGAGAATACTAAAAGGTAAAAACATGTCTCAACCCTCCCCCTCAAGCTGGAGCATATAGATTGTATGCACCAAACTTGGAACAAATGAACTGAATCTTAGGTCCTCTCAAGGATTTAGTTAAAATGTCCGTCAGTTGTTCATTAGAGCTTACAAATTCAGTTACAACTTTTTTAGACACTAACTTTTCTCTAGCAAAGTGACAATCAATCTCGATATGCTTTGTAATTTCATGAAACACTGAGTTGAAGGCAATATGGATAGTTGTCTGATTATCACAAAACAACTTCATATGCCCATTATCACAAAATTTTAATTCTTGAAGGAGTTATTTGATCCACACAAGTTCACATGTAGCAAGTGCCATAGATCTATACTCAGCTTCTGCACTAAATCGAGCAACAACACTTTGTTTTTTACTCTTCCAAGAAATCAAATTCCTTCTAATAAAGATACGAAAGATACAATACCTAGTAGTAGATCTTCTATCAATGGGACGACCAGTCCAATCTGCATCACAATAACTTACAATTTTAGTATTATCTTCATCTTCATATAACAATCCCTGTCCTGAGGCCTTTAACATATCTAAGAATGCGAATCAAGACATCACAGTGATCAATACAAGGATTTTGCATAAATTGGCTAATTACTCCAACTGCATAAGAAAGATCTGGTCTAGTAATAGTAACATTGTCGCAACCGAAATTGCGGCGTGACGGCGCACCAAAAGTTTTAGATTTAAAAATTCAAATTAGAGTTTTGGAGTCGTCACCATAGTTTATTCAAGAAAACTATGAAAAAATCATAAAGATAAGACAAGGTCTACGAAAACCGAATTCGGGTTCGGGAGTTGGTTACGAGTAGGGAAGGTATTAGCATCCTACAACGTTCGTCCTAAGACGGTTACCCTTAGTTGAATGTGCGAAATTAAATGTCATTTTTTAAAAAAATATTTATTTCTCCCAAAATAGAACACAAAGAAATAAAAAGAGAAAAAGAATAGAATGAACAAAAATATTTTTAGTTTTTCGGGGTCTGATAAGGATTGACCTTGCTCCTACGTATTCTCATTCAAAATGAGAAATCAGGGTTATGTAGTTCTTTGAAGAAAAAGTTTGTGTGTTTGATTAATGTTTTGAAAATTTTGTTTTTTGAAAAAGTTTTGTATTTTGTTTTGAATATTGTTTTTGACGTTATGAAGACACATGATAATGCGTGCGACCATACCCGTGTTTCAAAGGTTTATTTAAAATAGAGGACATGACGACGCAAATGGTCGTACCCGTACCTCAAAGTTTATTTAAAAGGAGAAGACATGACGACGCAAACGACCGTACTCGTAGCTCAAAGTTTATTTTGAAGGGACCGGATGTCAAAAAAAACCTATATCACGTAAGGCATTGCCACTAAATCGAACGCGGAGCTGATAGCCACTAAACAAAATAACGAAAAGGGTCTGTTAAGGTTCCAACATAAAACCAATTGGCAATATGTGGAGTAGCATAACATGTATTTAAACCATACCAAATGATATGAGGTAGGCGATGTGGGACTTTCAACACACCCCCTCCAACGAAGCCTGCCGGACCAGGCAAAGGGTACTTTTGACCCAACTAAAGGGTAACTTTTGGCCCATGACAATAACCGAAAAGATGTTAGGCTTTGGCTCTGATACCATGTTAAGGTTCCAACATAAAACCAATTGGCAATAGAATAGAGTGTGGAACTTTATTGTTAAGAGAAGAAGATGGCATTCTGTTAATGAGAAAACATGCAGTAAGAATAGTATCTCCCCAATGATGAACGGACATATTTCCACCAAGTAATAAGGTACGAGCAGTTTCAACCAAATGTCTATTTTTTCGTTCTGCTATACCATTTTGTTGTGGTGTGTGAGGACAAGTAGACTGGTGTAAAATGCCTTGGGAGCTTAAGAGAGTGGAGAAATCAGTAGAAAAGTATTATTTGGCATTATCACTTCGTAAAACTTTGATTACTTTTCCAAATTGATTTTTGATTTCGTTAAGGAAAGACTTAAAGATAGGTAATAATTCTAACAGGGCCGACAACCATGAGATCGTACAAACACGTATAATGCGTAGTACAAATAGCCTAGTATTCCTCACGGCATAACGCGATCAATCAGCCACACAATCCAAACAACCCAATAATAACATAACCCAATACACTCGAAGATTACAAATAGTACAACCCAGTTTAGATAACAGAACCAACACCACCATCCAGTATAATCATCAAAGTTGGAATGCAAAATAATGAAAACCTTAGACCAATCTCAACATATTAAGAGGCTAATAAAAGTAATTTGCATATCAAAATTAGGTTTTTAACGAAAATTTGGCAGCATAACGACATAATACGAACATCACTACAAGACCCATAGTCTTAACAATCAGGTAGAAGTTAGAATACCATCTCAACAAACAATAATAGTATCACTTGTTTTTAATAATAATGTTTAACAATAAGATGAACACAATTGGTACCAACAGTAGCCAGCACAACCAAGAAACTCAACAACCACCCCCTATTTAAACTAAACCCCCATCAAAATCAGTCAACATACCCAAATCTAAGCATCACCCACAATCAAATAAATGACACAAAGCCAAATTGGAACCACATGTCTCGACTTAGACACAACCACGCTAACCAACATTCGACAGATTCCAATCAGAAATAACAACATTAAGCAAGGGTCAAAATCAACAAAACCAAACCCTCAGAAACAAAACCCTCAATCAGAAATGGAATGCTAGATCAGAATAAGGTAGAAACATAAAACAAATCAAGCAAAAAAAGAGACGCAAAACATGGATCCCGGCCTCGGGTTGAACCTGCAGAGGAAAGCTAGCTCACGGCTTCACATTCGAGCAGGGGACTCGATGTTGCTCTGAGGATGCCACTCACGGTAGTTGCGGCATGAGTGGAACATGTCGAGGCCAAGAACTATGGTGGCACGATTCCGGTTGAAAGCACACGCCGTGATGGCTTACGGTGGGTATGGGTTTGCGGGTGGCCAGTGGTTAGGTTTAAAGGGTAGGTTGGGAAGGGGAGTGATTGAGCTTGCAATGGCTCTAGGTAGGTTCGTGATTGGCTGATTGTGATGAAGGAGAAGCGGCTGGTGGCTCGTGATGGCCAGGATTTGGTGAGTGGTTTGGTGAAGGAGAAATGGGTGTTTATGGATTAAGTGCGGCGCGGAGAGGGTGAGACCACGGAGGCTAGGGTTGGCTCGCGGTGGCTTGGGGCATGGCGGAGGTGCAGAGAGTACGTGCAGTGGGGAGATGGGAAACTTGGGTGGCCGTTTTTATGGTGGCTGGCTGCAAAGGCGGTGGTGGAGGTTAGTGGCGCGGTGGATTGGGAAGTTGGAAATGGTGATCGGGAGATGGTTGGTGATTTGTGTGAGGGAAGATGAAGGTAAAGGAGAAGAGAATGGTTGTGCGGTGAGTGATGCTGGGAGGAGGGTGAGGCATACCAAGTGGGAAAAATGAAAGTGATGGGGGTGAAGATGGGAGATGAAGTGAGGCGGGCCGTGAGTGGGTGAGGAAGGGTGGAATGGATGGCTGTCGAGGATGAAGCAAAATAGGGTTGGGTGGATGAGGTGAGTGAAGGTGTAGGGAGAGTTGAGGAGGATGAGTGAAAACCGTAGTGAAGGTGGTAAAAAATGTGTGAAGGTCCCCCATTTTAAAGCCAAAAATTAGGTTAAGATTTTGAGACCTAGGGTAAAAAAAATGGGTTGGGTCCAAAATTTTGCCTTTTAAATTTTTATCCTAAAAAGCTACTACTTAATTTTCCTTTTTTGTTTAAATTATTTTTTTCATTTTTCTTTTCTTAAAAAATATATTATATTTATTTTTTATTTTATTTTCTTTTTTTTCTTTTTTATTTTAAAGTGCTTAAAAGAAAAACATTTTTTTATCTTTTTTCCTTTTTTCATATTTTAATATTTTTTCTTTCCTTTTTTCAAATATGTTGTTATCTATTTACTATTTCATCTCTACCCGGATGAAATTAGGTGCTGACAAAGATAAATGAGTTTACCAACCAACCTCTTGTATCTTTTTGGGTTTGACAACTTTTCTCCTTTTTCGCCAATCAATTTCTGATCAGGATTCATTGGGGTATCAATGGGTTTACAATTTGTTAAACCTGTTTCCTTCGGAATATCAAAAGCATACTTCCTTTTAGAGATGATCACACCTTCCTTTCACTGAGTCACTTCAATACCAAGGAAATACTTCAATTGACCAAGATCTTTGGTTCGGAAGTGAGCAAATAGATGATTCTTCAGTTGGTTGATCTTAGTATAATCATTGTCTGTAATAACAATATTATCAACATAAACCATAAGATACACACACTTGCCTGAAAAGAAATGACAATAAAACATTGAGTGATCTGCTTTACTCCTTTTCAAGCCAAATAACTGTACAACATGACTGAATTTCTCAAACCAAACTCGAGGTGATTGCTTCAAGCCATAAAGAGGTTGGTGTACCTTGCACACTAAACAAGACTCCCCCTGAGCAACAAAACCAGGAGGTTGTTCCATATAAATCTCTTCCTCAAGGTCACCATGAAGAAAGACATTTTTAATATTCAATTGGTGAAAGGGTCAATAACGAATAGTAGTCATAGCAAGGAAAAGACGAATAGTGAAAATCTTAGCTACAGGAAAGAAAGTATCACAGCAGTCGAGATCATAAATTTAAGTGTAGCCTTTAACTACTAGACGAGCTTTAAGACAATCCACTTTATCATTATTATCAACTTTAATTACATAGACCTGCCTACAGCCCACAACCTTTTTGCCAGGAGGAAGAGGGACAAACTTCCAAGTGCCATTGTGCTCAAGAGCTTGCATTTCATCAATCTTGGCTTGTTGCCATCCATGGTAATCAAGAGCCTCATGGACAATATTAGGAGTAGTGGTGTCAGCCAAAGAGACAACAAAAGAGGAATATGAAGGAGACAAATAATGGTAACTTAAAAAATTATAAATAAGAAAGGGATTTCGAGAGGAACGAATACTTTTTTTGAGTGCAATATGCCATCCAAAATCAAAATTGGGAGAGGAGGTTGAAGGATCCATGGTATGAGAAGTTGTTGGAGAAGATTCTGAATCACGATTATCTGCAGAATCTGGTAAAAGTGTAGGTGGGGTCCTGCGGTGATATGTAAGAAGAGGAGGAGAATCATTGAGACCTGTAGGTTGAATTGGAGAAGGATTAGGTATTATAAGTGGATCACATGAGGGTACAAGAAGGACATTTTGCATAGAGGAACCATCCTTCATGAGGGAAGAAAAGAAGGGTGTTTCCTCAAAGGTGACATCAATAGACATGTAATACCTTTTGGTGGATGGAGAATAACATTTGTACCCTTTTTGGAGGAGAGAGTATCCCAAGAAGACACATTTAATGGCTTTAGTACTTAGCTTATCAAGACCTGGAGAGACATTATGTACAAAACAGGTACCATCTCTTTCAATTTTGATAAACTTGGGTGACCTAGACGATCATGCAAAAGTTCAGGAGCAGGAGAAGCAAGACATAACACCGAAGGACTTGGATTCATATAGTACAGACCACATGATTCATCTCCTTCTCTAATTAGACAACCCGTACCATGTTTCTAAATAACAAAAGAATTGGAATTAAAGGTTACAAAACAATTCAGAGAACGAGTCAATTGACTTAGAGAAATCAAGTTATAAGGGCAATTAGGAACGAAAAGAACAGAATTTAAATTCGAAGAAGGGGTTAAAGGAACATGGTCAATTCATTATGACTTTACTTTAGATTCATTAGCCATAGTAATTAAATGAGGAATTTTAGGATAGGACATGAAGGAAAATGAGGAATTATTACCATATATATGATCAGAGGCATCTGAATCAAGAATTCATAGGTTCTGACCTTCCACAAATTGAGAATTGCATGTTGTTGAAATACTAAGCATTGAAGAAGGTTGATCCTGTCAGGAAAACTGTGTAAGGAATAACAGTTTTCTTGCGTGTGTCCCATCTTCCTACAATAGGAACATTTAGGACAACCTTTTGTACTCCCACATCCTCATCGACTGTTATAACCTCCACCTCGACCATGAGAAGAAACCATAGCTAAAGTTTCAATTATCTCCACCTGATTCTCATTTATCATAAGATTATCCATTAACGGAACTTGATCACCAGCTAAGATTTGATCATGTACATGATTAAAATCAGAGTGTAGACTCCTCAAAATTAGGACCATGTACAACTTATCTAGTTTGGAGTTTAACTCCTCTAAGGTATTTGCCATAAGAAACCTTTTTAATTCCTCCACAGCAGTCCTAGCTTTTACAATGTGAGACATCATGTCATGATTTGTCTGCTTGAGAGACGTCACTCTTTGAGTTGCACCAAAGAGACACTGAATATCATTAGCAATAATGTCTTCAGCCTTTTTCCAAAAGGAAGAGCAAGTTTTGAATGACCTTAGAAGCTCAAGAACCTCAAGTTCCACAGATTGTCATAAGATTGCACAAAGTTGGAAATCTATTTTCTCCCACTGAGACCTCTCTGAGGCAAAAATAGAGTTCTCATCTTTCTCCAGATGGTCATGATACCCTTGACCTAGAAACCATAGTTCAACTGATGCAGACTAGGATAGATATTTTTCTAGTTGAGTTTGGTACTGGTTATGGTGGGAGTAGCAGAGAAAGAAAAAGTACTAGATGAAGCCATATATCTAAATCAGAAATGAAATATAAACCTAAACAATAGGGTACCCACGTGGCCTAGCTTTCAAAGTTCTCAAAACAGAAAAATAAGGGCACCACTGGACTTAGAGGACGCCGGCAAGTCGACCGATGGTAATCGGCCTTGATTCCAGCCAATGGAGGGGCGGCGCGTGGGACACACGTGCCTTAGGTCTCTACTTGGAGAAGTTGTGCGTAGGGCCGCAGATGGAGAAGTGATTGTGCGAGGTTGGGTCGCGCTCTTCGAGACGCACAAACCCCACCTTTACCGAGACCAAATTGAGATGGTGGTCGGTGGCGAAAGGCGACTCACGGTGGTCGAAGATGACAGGGATGACCGGAAATCAGTGTGGGATCGTACCCGTTCTGATACCAACTTGAGAAACTTATTTAGGGTTTCAATACATTATCAAAAGGCATGGTTACATTGTATTTATAGATAAAGTAGATAGAGGATATGGGCCTCAGTCCAAACCCGTAACTCTAGTCTAAGGAATATACATAAAAAATACTAAAAGATAAAAACATGTCTCAACAGGGTCTTGTATATATTTTTAACAACTTCACTTGATGTGAATTGGTTTTAAGATTAAATCTTACTTGAGAAATCCATCTCTTGCCTTAATTCTTGGAGTCCTGCTTGTATATTTTTTGGGCAAAGTTTTTTTATGGCAATTGGTTTAAAGATGAAATGTTAGAATCTTGGTAAATTGCCCATTTTGATAGACTTGCCTCTTTTGGTAGGCATTTGTGAAGAGGGAATTTTAGGAAACCTTGTATCATCAGTCTCAATTATTAGAATGTGACTTATATATATATATATATATATATATATATATATATATATATATACATTGGACATATTCACTTAATGCCAAATGGCTTTTAGATGAAATCAACAATCACTTCACTTGACCATATGGTTGTGTGAGGAAGCCGGTTGATTTCCATTGTATTGAGTCATTCCTCAATATCAAGTACATGGTGGAATTGAAATCCACATTAGTGATTGTTTTTGGACTTTGGATGTCATTCCCCCTTTTGAACTTATGTTTTTGTGAACAACCACCCCAAACCATAATGATCACTGGCTACGTTTGACTATGGCAACACAAGTATTTAGATTGCTTATCATAGGATGCCTAAATAGTGTTCTTGGCTCATTTTGTATGCATATTTTAACAGGTTGCTCTATCAAAACCAGTGTTATGACATTGTTTATAATTCAAATTGAGTTCCTCTAAGAGGTCCAGTATTAGATTTTAATTCTGATCATGGAAATAATAATCAGCAAACAAGAAAAAAGTATGAATACATTTGAATGGGATATTTTGTATCTAGTCCACTTTAAAAGCAATTAACTGGGACTTTTTAAGCGCTGAAAAGATCTCGGGGAGACAGGTTTTTGGAATTGTTGTTTGCGTGTTTGATGGTGATTGTTTTCACCATTGTGCTTCAGGAGAGATTACGAGCTAATGGTCATAGAGAGGCTTCTTGGGGTTCTAGTTTCTGTAGAATAAGGAATCAAGGACTAATTTGTAACTTTAAAATATTCTTAATGTTAAAATAATATTGTTACCTGCTAGATCAGGTTAATACTAGTTTCTCACTGTGATCATAAATTCACTGGGATGACTGCCTTATGATCCAGTTTTCCAACTCTTATTTTCTCCTTCAAATGGCTTACCTCTGCTAAGGCTGTATTGTTAATTCTCTTTATTCTTCATGTTTATTGCTTGCAGTTGTCGACACCCATTGCTAAGGCTGTGGTGAGCATTAAATTTTCAGTTTCTGATGTTAAGAGCAAATACAAGGTAATATACACTAATCTGTTTGATTTTCTGATGGCTCCAATGTTGGATAGTTAAACTTTATCACATTGTTACGCTTTACAATTTTCTTTACTATTTTGATCTATTTTAATGTCTTTTACTCATCGCCTATTTGATCAATTATTTCCTGATTCAGGATGCTACCCTTTTACCAAAATGGAAGGCGTTCCAAACAGTTATATTTCTTGAACGGGTGAGATTAATAGTCTGTCTGTGTCTTGATCTGGTTGTTCGGTTGACGTTAGACGAGTATAACCTTGTGCAAGATGCCTGGCTAAAAATTCAAAAGGAACATACACACAAATGCATTCTGATATACATAGTTTGCATTTTCCCCATGTTCTGATAATTTACAGGATGATGGTCTGCGTGATTCAAGTAAAATTGCTGCATTTGATTTTGATGGATGTCTTGCAAAGACAGACGTGAAGAGGTATTTCTTCATATGAAGTCATGACTTTGTGATTAATAATGCTGTTGAATTTTGCTCTGCTACGGATTGGATATAATTTATCAAACTTATTCTTTCAAATTGATATTATTATTCCTGTTGTTGATGTTGTCACTTGCTAAAACATAGTAAGTGGTCTGATTATTAAGAAATTTATCCTTTTCTTTTAGAGTGGGTGCAAATGCTTGGGACCTCATGCATTCGTCAATTCCTGATAAACTACAAAGCCTACACAATGATGGCTACAAATTGGTGTGTCCCCAATTGTGGTGAAAGATACTTGATTTTTACTATCAATATTTGGCGGACTGTAGAACTTCTGCATGAAACCTTTTATGTTGCATGCTGTTTTGTTTTTGTTTATTATAGGTAATTTTCACCAATGAATCCAATATTGAACGTTGGAAGAATAAGAGGCAGGTGGCTGTGGACTCAAAAATTGGACGTCTAAATAATTTTATTGAGAAAGTGAAGGTTCCAGTTCAGGTGATTTTTTGGTACAACAGATGTTATGCTGTTATCAATAATTCAATTATGCATTATTTGTTTAGCTAGTTGAGTTACAATACAACTGTCATACTCTTCTTCAGTTGCTGTCTTTTCCATTTCTGGACTTAGGATTACTTGAGTGAAAATGTTCTTACTAGTGAAACAAAAGCGAGGTGATGTTAAAATTAGAGTGTTCTCCACTTTGTGGACATAGGATTACTGATTGGAAATGATTTTATGAGTGAAAGAGAAGCGAGGTGATATTAAAATTAGAGATGCTGTCTTTTGAAATATTGGTGCTTTCTCCTGGTAGGAATAGGCAATCAGGTTTATGATCAATGTCACTACTATTTAGAGTATATCAATGTATGGTTGATTTGCCGTAAAATAATAGGCACCACAATGAGCACAAAAAGTACTGTACCTTTTTTACTTCTAAAAGTAGTCTGAAGTACAGGACAAAACACAGCTCAAGGGAGTATAAAGCAGTGAATTGTTCATGCACTAAACCAGGTGAGAAAATGTTGTCAGCAGCACAAAATAGAAAAAGACAAATAACCTCCTTCACTTCAATACCCCTGCTCTAGTGTATTTGCAACAATGCACAGCATAAAGGGTATTGGAATTATTTTTGCATTGTTTTATCTAGTACTTGTACTTATCAATCCATAATGGCAAATAGACAGTTTTCGTCCTGTGTGAGTGGCGCATTAAACAAATTATAACACCACAACTATTCCTACTTGTGTTGTGCTACTTTTGTGTGTTGTCCCTCAGTATTCAACAAAAGCAACCTTAAAGTTGTCAGTTCTTCAAACTTTAAAAATATTCAATCTGTCCTGTGACATTTTTTTCTTATCTTTAAATAGTAAAATATCTTTTTCATTGCCATCATATTATCTTAAATTGTATTGGTTAGCCGAATTTGAAAATTGTTTATTAAGTATTCTGTCATCATATTTTCATTTAGGACATAAAATAGTAATCAGATTTTATGATTTTATTAACTTCTTACACCAGTATCATGATCCTTTTTTGGGAAATTTAATTCTATTTAGTTTGTTTAGTGTTATTTGAAGTGAAACAATTTTACTAGGTAATTCACACTTTCTGTCAGTACTAATATCTTTCGTTTTGGCTTCTGTTTGGTTCTTTCTCCAAACAGTCAAGTACAGAAAAATTTTCCTCCACTTTTAAGTTCATATAATTTTAAATTAAAGTGGTTATCAGAAGGAAATTAAATTGGTATCTTTGACATTTTTAATACCTTTACTGTTTGCGATTCTTTATCAATCATTTTAAATAAGTCCCACTCATGTCCATGCTGAATGCAATATTCCTTTTAGTAATTTGGATTTCCTTTGTGTCTCGAGAACAAAACATCTTCAGTGTTAGTTCTATCCAAAGTCATCGATGTTAAAATTGATATCTGAACCTTTTGCATCTTTACAATATCACTGCACAATGAACTTTCCGACCTATAAAAATTTAAGTAAAAAAGTCTGTCATCGAGTTGTTCGGGGGGTTGCAACTTGCAAGTGTCGTTCCTTATTTAACAAAAGTACACTCTTTTAAGTTAGGTAGGTGTATCCATACACTTTGTACAAGTTATCGTTGGATCTGAAAATAATGAATATACTTTATTTATTGCCCAGATCTTCGGATAACTCATGTAAGGTGCATGCGTGCACCTAACTTGTAGGATGTATTTTGGAATTCTTCTATGTAAGACTTACTAAAGGGGGAATAGCAAGACTTTGTAGCCCATTCGGTTTCAAAAGTATTTAGGAGATGCACAAGAATCTGATTTAGTATCTGTATTTTATCTATTCAGGTTTTTATAGCTTGTGGAGTTGGTCTTAAACCAGGAAAAACAAATAAAAATGAAGATGATGCTTTTCGCAAACCCAAACCAGGGATGTGGCATCTTATGGAGCAACACTTCAACTCTGGCATTGTCATTGATATGGATCAGTTATTTTTTTTCCATTTAATAGTTCAATTGATGATGTCTTTTATTCCTTTTATTTTGAATGTCACCATATTTTATCCATAAAGGGATGAAAATCGTAAAGATGCATTTTCAATTTTGTAGATCGTTTTATGTTGGTGATGCAGCCGGGAGAAAATCAGATCACAGTGATGCAGATATTAAATTTGCAGAGGTAGTTCAACAGTTTTAGCCATTGAAGTTATCTTTCTCACCTTTTGTGTCCGATGACCTTTTTTTTCCTCTGCTTTTAGTCATGTGCATCTCGTGTCATCATTGAATTAATTATTACACTGATTTTATCAATAACTATTAATAAAAAAGGTGTAATAACCAATTGTATAAAGGATAAGAGCAGCATAGGATAAAAACACATGAAATAAGCCAAAAGTGATGTGAGCGCATGTTTCTCTGATTAGAATTAAAATTTATGGGTGTTTATTTCGTCTACTTGTGAATATTACTACCTTAAGCAGCATGTCCACACGGAATGGTATATTATACGTCCAAGTTTGTATTTTATTCTTCTTTTACTGATTGATTAAGAAATTGCTTTTGAATCTTTGTCTGTTCCTTGTCTAATCTATTTATTTATTTTTAATGATTTCAGGCCATTGGTTTAAAATTTTATGTCCCTGAAGAGTACTTTGTCTAAGCATCTAATTTAGTCAGAGGTTCATAGGAAGGTTAAGGCACGGAGGACTTGAGGCTGTGTTCGAATTTGAAGAAGGATGTGAGAAGGTGGAAATGAATTTATTTGAAGGGAAAGAGAAGTGATGGAGAATTTGTTTGGATTAAGAAAAAGTTGATTAGAAATGAAGGACAATGGCATCAAAGATTGTGAAAGTCTGTGGGTTATGTAATTAAATTGATAGGTTAAAAAAAGTTTTAATTGATAAAAGTATTAGATTACAATTTTATCTGTCTTACAAAAATTTAAATAAAATATAATTTATATAAATAATGTTAAAATTGGATTAGATATATTATTTTAAATATAAAAGTATAAATATATGAAATTATATTAAAATAAAATATAATTGATGAAAATTAATTTAAAATAAATTTTAGATAACTTTTAAATAAAATAAAAGTGTAATTTTAATTAATAAAATTATTTTAAGATAAATATAAATTTAATTTAAATTAAAGTGATAGTAATTTGTTAACAATAGATGTAATATTCATATCAAAATAAATAATATGTAATTGGCTATGATAGAAATTAATAAAAATAAATTAGTTATGTAATTGTTTGATTAGTTAAATAAATTGTTTTGGTGTAGTTATCGCCTTTCTCCTCAGTTCAAATGTAAATATCATAAATTCTAAGATAGGATAAAATCATGTCACAAAGTAATATTCATCGTTATGAAAAAAAATAATAAAATAAAATTGAACCTAGAACTAATTAGATGATTTTTTCAGAGAATACAATTTCCACCCATATCAAAATGTAACACGTAAAATCAATGTAACAATAAAATTTCAGATGAAACAGTGAAAACCAATGGAGCAGCGAGATGGAATTGTATTGAGTTTGGTTTACAAGGAATTAAAAAATGGAAATCATAACAAAGCTAAGACGTAATGAAATTCCAGACGTTCCATGCGGATACCTGAGATGAGTAACAGAGTTTGTTAAGAAACAGAGAGAGAATGGGTATAGAATGAGCAGAATCAGTTAGCAGAATTGCATACCAGTCACGTGCCTCTCTCATTGAATGAATTCCTTTAAATACACATTTTCTTTTCGTTCACGTGTGCTTCTTCTTAATGTCTTATCATGCGGATCCATTTCCACTTGGCCCCTTCCTTCCACTATATTTTCTGTTATTTTTTTTTTTTTTGGTAGCAATACCCTTCCCTTTAACATCAACCTTGCCCTCAAGGTTGAATTGAGGATAAGTGTTATGAAATTCTTCAAGATCTTCCCAAGTAGCTTTAGTGGCGGGAGTCGATTGCCACTGTACTAACACCTGTTGTATATCAACATCATTACGTCTTATAACTCTTTGCTGCAGCACTTTTGTAGGACTTAAGATTGGTCCAAATTCACTGGTGGTCAAAGGTAAGGGTATGTATTGTTGGGAGTGGGTCCCTTCAAACTTTTTAAGCAAGGAAATGTGGAAAACAGGATGAATTCTAGCCGTATCTGGAAGCCTCAACTTATAAGCAACTGGACCTATTTTCTCCACCACTTCAAATGGTCCAAAGAAGCGCATGCCTAATTTTTTATTCTTTCTTAGAGCCACTGAATGTTGTCTGTAGGGCTGTAATTTGACTAATGCGAGATCACCAATGTGCAGCTGAAAATCTCTTCTCTTCTTATCTGCCTGGAGCTTCATATAGTTTTGAGCCTTCATCAAATTGGCTTTGAGCTTATGTAACACCTTGTCTCTATTGATTAAGGACTCTTGAATCGGAAGTGGATCTGTATTATGGACTTCATAAGGAACAACTGAAGGAGGTTCTCTTCCAAAAACAGCTTTGAAAGGACTCATTTTTATGCTGTGATGATAGGAAGAATTGTACCAAAATTGTGCCCAGGGAAGCATAGAGTACCAAAGCTTCGGATTTTCAAAAACATAACACCTCAAATACATCTCCAAAGTTTTGTTAAGTACCTCGGTTGACCGTCACTTTGGGGATGATATGCGGAACTCATGGCCAAGGTTGTGCCTTGAGCTCTAAATAAATGTTGCCAAAATGAGCTAATAAAAATCCCGTCACTGGTCGGATACAATGGTTCTCGGGAAAACCATGAATTTTTGCCACATGATCAATAAAAGCTTCAGCTACAGTTTTGCTGTTAAAAGTGGATTTCAAGGCAATGAAATGACCAAACTTCGAAAGCCTATCCACTACCACCAGAATAGTAGAAAAACCATGTGAAGAAGGGAGATTTGTAATGAAGTTCATGGCTATGTCCTCCCAAATTTGTTGAGGTATTGGCAAAGGTTGTAGCAGGCCATTAGGTAGAGCTTGGTCCACTTTAGCTTGCTGACATATACTACAATTTCGAATATAGGTCTTGATCTCTTCCTGCATTTTTGGCCAATAAAATTGATTGCAGATTCTAGCTCTTGTTTTAGTATGTCCAGCATGACCCCCCACCTTGGAATCATGAAATTCGTGCAGAATCATATTCTTCAGTGTCGAATAAGCCGGTATCATTAATCTACCTCTTCTGAAAATCATATCATCTTTAACCACAAACTTGTCCAAAGGTAATGTACCCTTAGTATTTTGCATTAACAATTTACGTAACTCTGCATCCTCCCTTGTCAGTTTCGGTATCTGCTCCAACCATTTAAATTGTACTTCTGACCAAGCCATCAAACAACTTCTAGACAATGCATCAGCTGGTATATTTTCTTTTCCAGGCTTATAATGGATAGTAAAATCATAACCTAGGAACTTAGGTAGCCACTGTTGTTGCTCAGGAGTTTGCAACTTCTGTTCTAACAATTCTTTCAGGCTTTTCTGATATGTGTTAATGATGAATTTATTTCCCAACAAATAATGTCTAAACTTAGCCAAAGCCTCTATTATGGCATAGAACTCCCTAGTATAAACAGATTGTTTCTGCATTCTAGGGGAGAGTTTCTAGGAGAAATAAGCTATTGGATGGTGAGCTTGGCTAAGAACAGCTCCAATTCCTGACCCAGATGCATCAGTCTCTAAGATAAATGGCTCCGTAAAGTTGGGGATGGCCAGCACAGGCACAGAAGTCATCGATTCCTTCAAGCTTTCAAAAGCTAAGGATGCTTTTTCAGTCCAATTAACTGAGTCTTTCTTTAACAAATCAGTTAAAGGTGCAGCTATGGTTGCATACCCTTTGACAAACCGTCTGTAATAGCCTGTGAAGCCTAAGAAACCGCGCAATTGTTTCATTGTGGTGGGTTTGGGCCAGTTTTTAATAGCTTCTAATTTAGAGGTTTCCATAGCAACCCCATGGCCTGACAAGGTATGACCTAAGTAATCAATTTCTTTCACACCAAAGGAACATTTTGAAAGTCTAACGTATAAGTGTTGCTGCTGTAAAATTCCCAAAAGCAGCTCCAAATGATATAAGTGATCATTCCATGTGGCACTAAAGACCAAAATATCATAAAAAAAAAACCAACACAAATTTTCTTAAGTAGTCCTTGAAAATCTCATTCATTAAACTCTGGAAAGATGCAGGAGCATTAGTTAACCCAAATGGCATTACAAGCCATTCATAGTGTCCATGGTGGGTTCTAAATGTTGCTTTATGTCTATCTTCTGGTTTCAACAAGATTTGGTGATAGCCAGATCTTAAATCTAGCTTAGAAAAGAAAGTGGCTCCAAATAACTCATCTATAAGTTCATCAATAGTTGGAATGGGAAAGGTATCTTTAATAGTGATAGCATTAAGAGCTCTATAGTCAGTACATACCCTCCATGATCCATCCTTCTTCTTGACCAAAATTATTGGAGAAGAAAAAGGTCTTTTGTTGGGTTGTATTATGTCTTCATCAAGCATGCCTTGCACCAGTTTTTCAATTTCTGCTTTTTAACTATGAGGATACCGATAAGGCTTAACTTTGACAGGTTGGGATCCTTCAATCAAGGGAATGGAATGATCATGAAAATGCTGTGGTGGTAACGATGTTGGTGTCTCAAAAATCGAGCGGTAATTATGTAACAGCAAGGCCAATTCTGGTTCAATATCAACAGATAATTCCTGAAGTGGAAAATGATACAAACTCTCTTCAACCAACTGCATACTGAACACCTCTGCAATTGAATCAGTGTTTATCATTCTTCTTATGTGATGCAGATGTGCATGTGTAGGTGAACAATTGCTTTCTCCCTGTAACGTTATGAATTTACCTTCATATAAGAACTTCAGCTGCAACAACTCATAATCAGCGATGTGAGAGCCTATTGTTTTTAACCAATTGGCCCCCAATATCAAATCAGCTCCTGAAATTGGTAACAAAAAAAACTGGTAATTCAAATTTAGCCCCTTGAACTTGAATATTGAGTTCTTTAATCATTCCTTCTGCAATCATGTAATTTCCATTCCCCACCATGACGTTAAACAGTGGTGCTGGTTCTATAGGCAATTTAAGAAACTTAGCAATCCTTGGTTGTAAAAAATTATCAGAGCTACCTTCATCCACTAATACTATAACGGGCAAAGTATTGATATGAGCAATAAAACGAATGATACCAACCCCTACGCCGCCCTTCATAGCATTTAAAGACAAGTGATGATTATCTTCTAATTTTACATCAGTCTGTGTAAGCGTGCTTGAAATCACAGTGTCAGTAGCGTGATCAACTTCATAACTCTCTTCTTCACTTTGTAACATCAACAATTGCCTATTGGGACATTTGTGATTAAAAGTAAATTTCTCATCACAAAAGTAACATAAACCTTTTTCTCTCCTCAATTGCATCTCAGCCGGTGTAATTCTCTTCACATTTACATTTCTGGTTGGAGGAATGGGAGGTGTAGGTAACAGCGGTGGTAATGACTGCTTAGGAGTAATTTTTGATGGGCTAGCATTGATACTGCTAGATGAAAGAGAAGAATATTTATGATTATAATTAGTAGCACGTTGTTGAACGAGAGGTGTATACTTGTCTTCATATAATTTCGCCAAGGCCACTGCTTGAAGCAAATGCGTGGGACACTGGGCTACCACATCCCTTCTAATCTCACGATTCAACCCACTTAAAAAATAATGCAAAATAGCATCATCGCTAAGACCTTCAGAACGGTTTGCTAGTGCAATAAACTTCAAATAATAATCCGAAACAGTTCCTGATTGTTGGAGCTTGAAAAGGTCTGCCATAGGAGAATCAAAAGGAGAAGGACCAAAATGACTTTCCAGAGCTCTTGTCAAATCGGACCACGTCTGTACAGCTGACATACGGTGCAACATTTGGAACCACGGAATAACATCCTTCTCAAAGTGAATTGAAGCGATATCCACTCGTTCATTGTCAGGAGTTCTGTGATAATTGAAAAAATTTTCTGCCTTGAAAATCCATTCTAACACAGGGTATGTACCGTCAAAGTGAGGAAAACCCAACGAAATCTCGCGTGCTGGTCGTGCAGAGCTATACGGTTTCATCACTAGCGGTGAGTCGGTTGAGTTCGAAACATCAATGTGCGGAGTTGGACCTTGATTGAGCATATCCAACGATTTTTGCATCTGTTCTATTCGGTCATTGTTAGCGGTTTGAAATTGAATGATCAAATCACGGTTTGTCTTATCCCTTTCCGGTTGTTTCTCAATCCAGCTCAAAATCGAAGTAAGCTGGGCTTGCATATCTTTCATCCTTGTGTTCTCTGCCATTGATGTCAATGAAAGCACCAATGTAACACGTAAAATCAATGTAACAATAAAATTTCAGATGAAACAGTGAAAACCAATGGAGCAGCGAGATGGAATTGTATTGAGTTTGGTTTACAAGGAATTAAAAAATGGAAATCATAACAAAGCTAAGACGTAATGGAATTCCAGATGTTCCATGTGGATACCTGAGATGAGTAACAGAGTTTGTTAAGAAACAGAGAGAGAATGGGTATAGAATGAGCAGAATTAGTTAGCAAAAAAGATTGCATATCAGTCACGTGCCTCTCTCATTGAATGAATTCCTTTAAATACACATTTTCCTTTTGTTCACGTGTGCTTCTCCTTAATGTCTTATCATGCGGATCCATTTCCACTTGATCCCTTCCTTCCACTATATCTTCTATTATTATTATTTTTTTTGTAGCACAAAACCAATTGAAAAAAATTACAATGTAAAATGGAATTATTCTATTTATTTATTTATTTATCAATTTGGAAAGAGAACACACCATAAAAACAACACTTGTTTTCGTTATGTTCTTTATCTATATAAATACATAAATGCAGAATAGTGAAACAATATTTATCAAGATCACATCTGTCCCGTACAAGTATCCCCATAGAGGCAATTACCACAATAAAGCAAAATCTCTTGCAATTGTATTCGCAGAGCTCGTACTTGAACTCAACCATTAGCTAAACAGAAATTATTTCATGCCAATGTTGGTAAGTGATATATAAAATGACATTTTTATAGTTAATGATAATAACCGACTATAAAAACAATATACTCTCTTAATTCAAAGAAACAAGCTACTTGTAATCTCCATTTCCTCACACATATCCCATGAAAAATTTGAAAGAAAAGAAAATTTGATAGGGAAAGGAGAAGACGGTAGTGGTAAACTTCATTGTCTCTCATGATCGATTTTTTCCATCTCTCTCAACCCTCAAAGTATATTATACCTACAAACCAAATCACTAGCACCATTGGCGGATCTTGACCATTGATCTTAAGGATCAAATAATATATTATTAATAAATAATAAATAAATATAAAAGAAAGAAAGAATATGAAAAGTTGAAAAGATAAAATTGTAGATATATATTAAATGATCGTTAAGTTTGAGTGAAAACAAAATCATAAATTATATGAGAATTACAAACCTGAACCTGGAGGATAAAATTATAAATATACAAGTAAATATATTAAATGTTCCTTATGTTTGAGAGACCAAAATCATAAATTACATAAAAATTACAAAACTTTATAACCAAGCCTTAAATTTCCAAGAAGATTCGCAACTCAACACAAACACTCAACTTCGTACAATAACGATAAAGTTATAGAATAAGTACCTTTTGATGACGAATTTAAAGTTGTAAAGTTATGTCAGATGATTCTTCAATATAGTTATAAGAACATAAATTCAAAAATGTAACGGCTCTTCTGATCGTTATAACAAAGATATTTTATCCACTTTCTTTTCTCAAATTCAATCTCCCAAATATTCTCAAATTACTGCACAAACATAATTCTTCTCACTTTTCCATCTCCAATAACAAAACATCAACGGATGTAATCACAAACTTAAGTTGAAAGTTACATTTAAGATAAAAGGTCCATTTTTATATTAAAGTTATTTTCATTAAAGATATTTATTCAGTTTTACATCAAATAATGGTTATTTTTAGGTTAATCAAATAAATGTAGATTGATTTATTTTTATTTTAATTTATTATTATAAAATTGTTAAATAATTTTAAAAAAATGTTAAATATTTTATAATAACAAATTCTTAAATAAAGAAATATGTTATAAAAAATTGTGTAATAATGACTAATTTATAATTTTAATTTTTCTTATATAAATACATTGTACACTCTAATATTTAAAAATTATAATTTAAAGCTGCTATCATATTTTAATAAACACAAATATCTTGTAAATAAAATATAATCAAACTTTAAAGATAATTTTCAAGAAATATAATTACGTGGATTTATTAATTGATAATTAATTTTAAACATATAATATTATATACCATCTGGTTCGGTTTATAATTTTTAATATACTATTTGAATTAAACTGTGCAATTTAAAAAATATTATTAAAATTTAATTAATTTTTATTTTTATTTTTTTTAGAATTTTTGCCTTTTAATTCATTGACTTGATTTGAAAGTGTATCTAACATAAGCTTTTGCATGTGGATTACAAATCTTAAATCCTAAAGTTTCTGGTGCAACTAATTTGTGGATTTTTTTTTTCTTTAATTTCACTAATTTATAACTGAGTGCCTTTATTCCATCTTAAAATAGATCAAACTTCATTGTGGAAAAAAAAAAAATTGGAGGCAGTGTCTAACACTTATTTTTAATCTTAGATATTTCAACCTAAATAAAATGTGTGGAAAAAAATGAATAAGAAGCATATCATGAAAAAGTAACTAAGGATAGGACAAATTAATGTTGGATTCAATCTGTGTTTATAATACTTCATGTTTGGTTTTTCCCTTGGGCTAGTGGAATCTCAGAAACTATGGCGAGGCGATCGTACAAGACGGAATTGGGATGCATAGCGTGCGAGGAGCTGGGGGAGCTCGGAGCGGGAAAACCTAACTGGCTGGTGGAAACCCCTCACCTCCTCTGCGCCATCGACACCCACTCCCTCCTCCTCGCCAACCGCTCCACCATCCTCCTCCTCTCCTGGTCCGCCCACTCCGATCCGCCCCTCAAGATCCGACCCGACCTCTCCCCCATCGAGGCAGAGTCCATCACCGCCCTCGAATGGCTTGCCTTCCAAGACCACCGCGTCATCGTCGCTGGCACCTCCTCCGGATACCTCCTCCTCTACTCCCTGCGGGGGGATTTGATTCATCGCCAGGTAATTTATTTCTGTCCCTTTCGGCGTCCTGTTTGTTGTGTGATGATTTTTAGGGAGAATTGTTTCGATTTGAAAACTGGAAGACGTGTGTGTTGTTCTGTTGGATCGATGTGGTTGTTTGAATAGTGAGGGTGATGAAATGCAGTTGTAACCGTTGAGATTTATGTCTTTGTTTGTTAAGTATCTAGTGTTCGTAATTTGCACAAATCTTAGTAAATGATTTTCTTGTCAATGGATATTGTTGGAGATCCAGATTGATTAGCAATATTACTAAATTAAAGCGGACAAATGGAGGTAATTCCCACCTCACAACCAGTTATTGTGCTGTGCTCAAATTAAAGCATTAAAGTTATGTCTTAACCCCGAAGTCTAAGATGAAATCAGAGTATAACCTAGTTACTTTTATTGGGTCTAGTGGATCACCTTATCAGATCATCCACAAATGTCCAGTGAAAATTTCTTATTTGAGATGTTCAGTAGTAGTGTTGAAGATTCAGGTTGATGATTAATATAGTGTAATTAAAATATATAGTGAGCGATAATCCTCACCTTACAGTCAGTTTTTAAAAATTAGTTTTTTTGGGATTGAGTTAGGTCTTAAGCCAGAGTTATAGATTCTTTATCCTTTCAAGTTTGCCACGGTTCAGGCATTGGGCTCCCGCTAAGGTGAGGAGGTGCACTTTAGAGGACTGCACTCACAATGGTTGATTAGAAAATCAAGGGCTGTGAATTGTGATAAAATCAAGTTTATATATGATAAATCTATAGTTAATTACAATATCAATCGTTTGTGCATTTTAATTAATGTACTTTATTCTCTAAAGTACATTTCCTCCTCTTAACAAAGTCAAATCCTTAGTTCAAAGGGGAAAAATCCTAGATTTGGCTCCTCTAACGTGAGGAGATGCATTTTAGAAGATAAATTGTGAGGACAACCATTACATGAAAATTAGCGCTATAAGTGTGATACAATCAAACACGTGTATGTATGACAATCTCTAAAGTTAGATGCAATTGTAACTGTTAATTTTTGAATTATTAACATGCTGGTTGGTCTCCTTTTGACGACATGGGATCAGTATGCCTTCACCCATCCCCGTCTGTTTAGAAGTAAATGCATTTTAATGATGGCATTTTGTTTGAAATGAATGACTTTTTGTGAGAAGTATTATGAATGACTTGTTAACCAATTAGAACAGGAATTGATGAGTCACAAGTGAAGAGAGAAATAGTTGTCCTAAGATAGACAAAAATTTTATACTTGTGTGTTTCAAATATTATGTTTTGTACCTTCATTTTCCAAAATATTTACCGCATGAAACCTAAGAGTTTCACAGATCAACAGCATATGGGCAAAAAAATAAAACACAAGCTTAAAAAATAAATTTTCCAGGCACGAATTTAAGCTTGCCAAATAGGTAAGGTATACAGAAATCAGATAATGTGAAATCAGCATACATTTTCGTCCCATTTTTATCATAATGTTTCATAGGTTTTATATCAATTTTCTTCTCTGTAGTTGATTTACCCTGGACGAGTTTTAAAGTTAAGAGTTCGTGGAACAAAGAAAGATTTGATTCAAGATACCTCTTCAGAAGAGTTTTGTCTCATATTGCCCGGTGTAATTGCCCGTTTTGATGGCTCAGATGTTCAGGTAAACACCGGTTTCTGTGTCATGGCTTGGCTGTTATAACTTCACTGAAATATGGTCCAATGGTGGAAAAGTATATCATTTTTTAGTGTTGGAATAGTCTTTTTTTTTTTAGCAGTGAAATAGGGTGTCAATATTACAGTCTAAATTTTGAATTGTGATAGCTGATAGTAGGCTTTGCAATGTTGAAATACAGAATAGGCTGCAGAAATGGTTTGAAGAAGCAAACTCTCGGTTTTGGGATCAAAAACCAAAGAGCCAAGATTCAGAGGATTTTGGAAATACTGATGTAACAATACCTTACCAGTTGTGGAATATTGGTAAGCATGGTACCTGTTCTGATGCAGCAATTACTGGCATAATGCCACCTCCGCTTATGGAACACCAGGTAAATTCTCTTGAATGATTGTGTTTTGTCTAGCATAGTAATGGTGATCATTTGAATTTCTTTTCACGAAATCCAAACTATTGTAATGCACAAGCATGATTGGAGGAAAATTTAATCAAATGATTTAGAATCTTTAATAATATTTGTGAAGCCACATTTTTAGTGTCTTTCATTTAATTGTGTTGAAGTATTTATTAGATTAATTGTATCTTGTTGGGCATTTATGAGATTAGTTATAGACGTAGTTCCTAAAATGTATCTGTTTATCTTCTCTAGGATTAATCATGTCTCTCTATTAATTGTATCTCTTAATTGTATCTCTAAATCTGTATTTTTATCTCCTATAAATAAGAGAACACAAGAAGATGATTTCAGGCTCTCAAAATCAGTTCTTTATTTTCCTTTTTCTATTTCAAGTTGGTATCAGAGCGGGTTCATCCCGCTCTGCCTGTCTCTGTTTTTTCCTGGCATTAATCGTCGTTCGTCACCGTCCGCCGCCATTCGCCGCCGTTCGCCGCCGGTGCAGTACTTCTCCGACGCCATTTCTCTCTCTGACACTTGGGTTAGGCTCGCCTCGAGGAGTGCGACCCAACCCCAGTGATCGCTTCCTCCATCTCTGCCTCACGCGCCGCCACGCGCCACCTTCGTCCGCGGCTTCCTCCGCGCGTGAGCCTCACTCGCCGCCCTCCCGGTACTGTTTTGCTCCAGTCAACCTCTATCCGGCTCACCTCGTCGCCCTGGTGCCAAATCTGCACTTTGTTTTGTGTTCTCTATCACAAAACGTGGTGGGTCTGCGTTTTTTCTCTCTGCCTCTCTCGGTCCTCTCTTTGCTTCCATAGACAGCACGTTGGTCCTCTCTCTGCTTCCATAAACAACACGTTGGTCCTCTCTTGTTTCCTGAAAAATGTCAGGACCTGTGTCTGTATCTTTCTATGGGACTCCGACTATAACCACAGAAAAATTAAATGGGAAAAATTATTTGTGTTGGGCTTCCTCTGTTGAGCTCTGGTTTTTAGGACAAGGAGTTCATGATCATCTAGAAGAAGATGGAAGTACTAAACCAGCAGATGAGACTCCTCAATGGAAGAAACTGAATTATCAACTTTGTGCACTATTATGGCAATCTGTTGAACCAAATATTTTGAGCACTCTTCGATCCTTTAAGACATGTAATTCTTTTTGGAAAAAGGCTCACAATATATTTGCTAACGATATTCAACGACTTTATGATTCTGCTATTAGATTAGTCTCCCTTAAGCAAGAGGATAATTCCATGATGTCCTTTGTTGCTGAAGCTCAATCAGCAGTTGAAGAATTAAAAATGTTTCTGGAGGCAGAATCATTAGAGGAAAGAAAGACGAAGCTGGATAAATTCTATATGGTAATGATTCTTAGGGCTATGAATCCAAAATTTAATCATGTTAGAGACCAGATTCTAACTGGAGAAGAAGTTCCTTCTATGAAGAGTTTAATCACAAGGCTTCTTCGTGTTCCTTCTATCAAAAGCAAAAACAGTCAGGAACTTGCTGATTCTTCCGTCATGATTTCTGCTCGTGGAAGAAGTAATCACAGCAATAGAGAACGTGGTGGGAGAGGACGTCCTTAGTGCTCTCATTGCAAAAGAATGAGACATACTAAGGAAAATTGCTTTGCTCTGCACGGCTTTCCTGATAAGGCAGCTAATACCTCAAAATCTGAAGTTGATGAGCCCAAGTTCTCTCATGAAGAGTATCAAGAATATTTAAGGATGAAATCAACCAATTTGGCTCAAGCATCTACAACACCAAATTCATCAACCGCTTGCATTTCCAATCTGTGGAAAGTCAAAATCTGTGGATTATTGACTCAGGTGCTTATGACCACATGTCTGGTAATACCTCTTTATTCTCCTCTCTTTCATTTCCTAAAACCTCCCATCCCATATCTTTAGCTAATGGATCTAAAGTAGCCTCTAAAAGAATTGGTCAAGTATTCATCTCTTCTTCTTTAAACCTTCAAAATGTTCTTTGTGTTCCTTCTTTTCCATTCAGTCTTGTTTCTGTAAGCCAATTAACCAAATCATTGAATTGCTCATTAACCTTTAATGGCAATTGTTTTGTTATCCAGGAACGTGGTACGGGTCGACTGATTGGAGAAGGACATGAATCTGGAGGCTTATACTACCTTAGGACTATGTCATCTGTATCTTGTGTTGCATCCTTATCCCCAAAATTGCTACATGAGCGATTAGGGAATTCTCATTTAGCAAAATTGAAAAAAATGGTTCCTGAACTTCAGAACCTTCAAACTTTTGAATGTGAATCATGTCAACTAGGGAAACATACCAGGTCTTCCTTTCCAAATCATTCTGAATCTAGATGCGATTCTGCTTTTAGTATTGTTCATTCAGATATATGGGGACCTAGTCGTGTTTCATCTTTTGATTTTAGATATTTTGTTACTTTTATTGATGGGTTTTCTCGATGTACTTGGGTTTATCTTATGAAAGATCGTTCTGAACTATTGCCTATCTTTAAGTCTTTCCTTCATGAAATCAAAACTCAATTTGGAAAAGTAATCAAAATTGTACGAAGTGATAATGCCAAAGAGTACTTTTCTAATGATTTTTCTAATGTCCTAAATTCTTAAGGCATTTTACACCAGTCCACGTGTCCTCACACACCACAGCAAAATGGCATAGCAGAACGAAAAAATAGACATTTGGTTGAAACTGCACGTACCTTATTGCTTGGTGCCAATATGCCTATTCATCATTGGGGAGATGCTATTCTAACTGCATGCTTTCTCATTAATAGAATGTCATCTTCTTCTCTTGACAATAAAGTTCCACACTCTATTCTATTTCCAAAGGAACCAATTTTTCAAGTTTCTCCTAGGGTATTTGGATGTATATGTTTTGTTCATGACATGTCTCCTGGCTTAGATAAACTCTCACCTAGAGCTATCAAATGTGTCTTCTGGGGTATTCTCGTCTTCAAAAAGGATATCGGTGTTATTCTCCTGAAACCTAGAGGTACTACATGTCTGCTAATGTCACCTTTTTTGAGTCATCCTCCTTCTTCACTTATTCTATGCAGGATATTGATTCTGTCCAAAATGTTTTTCTTGTTCCCTTAGTTGAATCATTTGTACCTCCTATTCCTGACACCCCAACTCCCAACCAAAATACTCTAGACTCATCATCACAGCCTATCATCACCTATCAATGCAAGAACCAGGTGAACAATCTCATTCCCCAAGATGAGCCATCCATAACAGGTCCTTCTCCATCATCCTCTAATACCACGGCTCCTGATAACGATGACTCCAATTGGCCCATTGTCATTCGCAAAGGTACTCGTTCTACTCGTAATCTTCATCCCATTTACAATTTTCTTAGTTATCATAGATTGTCTCCTTCCTATTGTTATTTTATTTCCTCTGTATCCTCTATTACAATTCCCAAAAATGTGGTCGAAGCACTTGATCATCCTGGATGGCGACAAGCCATGATTTCTAAAATGCAGGCTCTTGATCACAGCAAAACATGGGAGCTTGTTCCTCTCCTTTCGGGAAAGAAAACAGTTGGTTGTCGTTGGATCTATGCTATTAAAGTTGGGCTCAATGATCAGGTTGATCGTCTCAAAGCCAGGTTAGTGGCTAAAGGATACTCTCAAATATATGGACTTGATTATTGTGATACTTTTTCTCCTGTAGCCAAAATGACCACTGTCCACCTGTTCCTTGTCATGGCCACCATTCGTCATTGGCCTCTTCATCAATTGGATATTAAAAATGCCTTTTTGCACGGTGACTTAGAAGAAGAAGTTTACATGGAGCAACCTCCTGGATTTGTTGCTCAGGGGGAGTCTAGTTTGGTTTGTGAATTACGTCGATCTCTCTATGGCCTAAAACAGTCTCCACGTGCTTGGTTTGGAAAATTCAGCTCTATTGTTCAAGCTTTTGGATTAAAACGCAGCGAAGCAGATCATTCAGTGTTTTATTGTCACACTGCCCCTGGCAAACATGTTTATTTAATTGTGTACGTTGATGATATTGTCATCACAGGGAATTATGCTGCTAAAATATCTCAACTAAAAAAGCACTTGTGTAGTCATTTTCTGACCAAGGATCTTGGAAATCTAAAATATTTCTTGGGTATTGAAGTAGCTCAATGTAGAGAAGGTATTGTCATCTCTCAAGGGAAGTATGCTCTAGATATTCTAAAAGAGACAGGTATGATTGATTGCAAACCTGTGGACAGTCTTATGGATCCAAATTTGAAGTTAATGGCGGGACGGGGTGAAGTTTTCTCGACCCGAGAAAGATATAGAAGACTCGGTTGGGAAACTTATTTATTTGACTATTACTAGACCCGATTTGTCTTTTGCAGTTGGTGTTGTCAGCCAATTTATGCAAGCTCCTTGTGTGGATCATTGGAAAGCTATCATTCGAATCTTAAGATACATTAAAAAAGCTCCAGGACAAGGTTTATTATATGAAGATAAGGGAAATACCCAAATTTTTGGGTATTGTGATGCTGACTGGGCTAGATCTCCCATGGATAGGCGTTCCACTACAACCTATTGTGTTTTCTTTGGAGGTAATATCATTTCATGGAAAAGCAAAACGTTGTTGCCCGATCCTCTGCTGAAGCTGAATATAGAGCAATGACGTCTCTTACTTGTGAACTTGATTGGGTAAAACAATTCTTGCAAGAATTGAATTTCCGTGAGATTCAATCTATGAAGATGTATTGTGATAATCAAGTTGTTCTTCACATTGCTTCCAACCCAGTATTTCATGAGAGGACTTAACATATTGAGATTGACTGTCACTTTATTCGGGAGAAGTTGTTGACTAAAGAAATTTGTACTGAGTTTGTTGGTTTCAATGATCAGCTTGCAGATGCATTAACAAAATCTTTGAAAGGACCTCGAATGGAATTCATTTGTTCCAAGCTTGGTACATTCAATTGGTATGCTCCAGCTTGAGGGGGAGTATTGAAGTATTTATTAGATTAATTGTATCTTGTTGGGCATTTATGAGATTAGTTGTAGACCTAGTTCCTAGAATGCATCTGTTTATCTTTTCTAGGATTAATCATGTCTCTCTATTAATTGTATCTCTAAATCTGTATTTTTATCTCCTATAAATAAGAGAACACAAGAAGATGATTTCAGGCTCTCAAAATCAGTTCTTTATTTTCCTTTTTCTATTTCAAGTAATTGTATACATATGTTCAGGTGTTAGTAGGCTTTAAAGAAAATAAATTCTTCTGGCAATATCTCACACTCATTAGTATGACCTTTCGCTATATCATACTTCTAAAATTGATATTAAGTTTAGCAATTGTCTTTTTTTTTTATCTTGTGTCCGCGTGACTTTAGTTTTCCAGTTTTTCATTTTGTCCTTCTATGAGTTATAATGATTGTGGTTTTGTTTGAACCTTAGATAATGGGAGCTTTCTGAAATTATTTCTGGTATTTGAATTCAGCTGCTTTTATTGTTGGGCAGTCAAGTCAACGTTATTATTGTGCAGTGGCTGTTGGAGAGGATGCTGTGATTTCAGCATACAGGTACTTGGTGGATTATTTGGTATAATCTTATGCTACTTCTATATCAATATGTGCTCTGATCTGATCTATGAAGTCTTTTTTGTAGTCATAGTAATTTAGTATTATATTGACTTTGTTATTGTTTGATCCCTTGGGAAGACTTTCTGAGAGCAAAGGCCGGTCTTTAGTGGGAGCTATCTTGTCTAGAGTTGTACCTGCGACATTTTCCACATTAAGTTCTTTTTCAAAGTTGATATGGCGGAGTGAACCGTCCTCTCCAAAGAAGTCTCCGAAGAAGGTAGATCAGAAGCCTCAGCCATTTGCACGAGGTAGGAGTAACACCCACTATAGTGCTTGCTTGCTTGCTTGCTTGCTTTTGTGATTATAACATAGCTTCCGTCAGATAATTGTGTGTATAATATAGATGATTGTCAATCCTAGTAAAATGAAAAGAAAATTATGTATTATCTTGCTATTGTTTTAGACAATAGAAAAGTGGTGCTATGATATTTTAACTATAACTAGAAGAGAAGGACTCCCACTGGGAAGTTTAGACATTATAAATGTGACACAGTGAGTTTGAAACCAATGAAAAAGGATGAACCTTCTCTAGTGGATTCCTCTGCTGAAAACCTCATAAGTGGATTGGTTACATTTTATCATCTTAACATGGAAAGATATGCTTCTTGTATGGTCTCTAATTTCATTGCCTTCACATTGGATACTGTTTATCGGGCTTTTATTTTTCATTTTGTTCGTAATGTTTTCTTGCAAATTTTTTTCTTTTTAAGGAGGGGGCTGTAGGCAGGGGAGCATGTATTCTACAAATAGAAAACTTTGATGCATGTTAAAGGAAGCAGACTAACCATTTTACATCATCTCTCATTTCCTTTTTGGCTTCTTACCACTGCTTTGGTGGCGTTGATGATGATAAGAAGCTTGTCATAAATGTCTTAAAAAATTAATGAGTAGTTAGAAACTTAGATGCTTGTTACAGGAAAGTTCTGCAGAGTAACCATTTTACACTCCTCTCTTTTCCATTTCGACACATTATCAACATTGGTGGAATTGATGTACTTCAATATTGAGAAGCCCATTATAAGTGTCACAAAAAAATAATGAATATTTAGCTAAATCCCATGGCACATTCTGTTAGAACAGATAAAGTTGAACCAACTGAACTCTACCAACGAGATATTGCATAGCTAATGTTCTCCATTATTGTGGCACCATTTCTAAAGTCAAATCCTATCATCTGACTTTGACCTTCATGGTTCAATGCAGCTTCACCTCTGACATGTTTAATGGATCACCCTAGGAAAGGTGAGAAGCTTACCTTATCACCGAGTGGTACATTGGCTGCTATAACCGATTCACTTGGTCGCATATTGTTGCTTGATACTCAAGCACTTGTGGTGGTGCGCTTATGGAAGGTAAGCTTTTGAACTTTTTAACCCCAACCACCTCACTCTTCCAAAAAGAAATACTGAAATGAAAATATGTATTTTTGCAGGGATATAGGGATGCCAGCTGTCTATTCATGGAGATGTTGGTGAACAATGATGTTGCATCATCAAGCTCTTCTTACTCTGAACCATTGAAGAGTGATTATTGCTTGTGTTTGGCTATTCATGCACCTAGAAAAGGAATTATTGAGGTTAGATTTTTACCTCGCAATATAAGTGAACTATATGTATTTTCAACTCTTTTATAAAACTAATGGAAAGGGTATTTGCTGCCATGGTGCAGCAAATGTTTACTGTCAATGTAACACTGACTCTCTTCACTCCATTCTTGTACATAAATAACTAAACAAATTCTTGTGCATAATAGTGAGGTATTACCTTTAGTGTTATTACTTGGTAAAAATTAAATTTGTTTGCTTGATTGGTAATATCATGCAGATCTGGCAAATGAGAACTGGACCACGTCTCAGAACGATTTCATGCGCAAAAGGTAGCAAAATGTTACAACCTAGCTACAGGTTTGGAGCATCAATGTCTTCGCCTTATGTCCCTCTGGAAGTTTTCTTGTTAAATGGGGACTCAGGTCAGATATCAATCGTAAATCGAACCTTGGATTCTTGATAGGTTTGTTTTTGTTTTTCTTTCTCTGCTAATCAAAAATTACTTTTGTAAAAAGAAAAGAAAAGAAAGACAGTTTCGTGTTATAAAGCCCCTGTTATATGTGATATCTTAGGAATGGTTGATCCTCTTTACGGGTCTATATTAGGCAACTTTACCTTGCATTTCAATTAATAGTATTATTATTTTGTCTTCCGTTAGTGCTCGAGTTAGTGAAAATGATATATTGCCTTAGTTGCTACTAAAAATCCACATGTCTGCATTTTTTCATGAGATGAAAGTGTAGTAAAGCAATTGATCAAAAAAGGAGTACCAAAGCTTTTTATTTTTAGAATGGATGATTGACTGGTTATAATTTTGCTTTTGTTCAAGTAGCAAAATTTCATTATAAAATGAAAATTTGCACATGTTTGTGATGAGAAACCTAAAAGAATCTTTAACACATTTTCACAATTCATACATAGAACGAGATAGTGTATGTATGTAGAATATCTAGTGGGTTGGATTATAATTACATGGTAAAAACAGTGTAAATATAAATTGATGTGTAGAGATCTGGCAAATTTTTCCATCATTATACTCCAAGATCAAAAATTATTTTGGATTTATTTGAGTGTTCATTTGGAATGATTTGAAATAAGGGAAGTTGCATGGATTCGCATTCTAATTTTCCATTTCCTCATTCATTTTCCCCATCACTTGTCCCAAATGAGCAATTAAGTGACCAAAGTTTCCAAGAGGCCAACTTTGGTTTTCAAATCAACATCGAAGTTCAAACTCCAATTTCTGGTTAGGTTTCCATAACTCTTTCACCGATCTGCACCTTCACCACCTCGTGCTTCCCATCATGATGTGCCGTGCAGTAGTGCGTGTGAACTGAGTCTATGATTTTCATTTTTACGCCGTTGATGTGTAAAAAATGCTCCAATTTATTTTCAGATAAATAATAAACCCTACGATTTTCTTTTTACACATCAACAACTTCTAATATGTTGCCATCTGGATCTTTAAAAGCGACTTCTTTTAGTAGTTGATCATAGAATTCAAGGATGATCAAAATTGGCATATCTTTTTTTCTGAAAATAACTTTTAAATCATTAAATATTCATGAAGTACAATAAAGCAGTGGAATATATTTGGTTCATTCGTTACAATGTATTCAATAATGAATAATTGAAACATTCTGTTTAATAAGAAATGCACTTACATCTTCTCTAATATACATTATAAAATTGTGAAATTTTGTTGCGTGAGACTATCCACAACCAATTTCCAATTTTTATATTGAAATAATAATTCAATTAATTAAACAATTAGATATTTGTTTAAAAATAAAGTAAAAGAAAAAGTGAAGCTGCAATAGGAAGTAGATTATGAAATGCATGCTGAAAATAACTTAAGGTGCAACAAATATTTGATAAAAAAAAATGAAATACGAAAGAAACTCTATAAAAACAAAATGATGACTCAAATATAATAAACTTGTCATTTGCTTGACTTGAAGCCTCTCGATGGGAACGCCTCATCTTTGTTATCCCAAATTCCAATTTTGTTCTACCAATGTTTGACTTGTAAAGAGATATGATACCTATTTCAACAAGTTCCTTTAAATGAATTTTTTTATATAAAAAAATCTTTAAACTAAAATTATATAGTAAAATTATTAAAAAAAGAAAAATGATAAGAGATAACTTCTATATATGAGTTTCTTTAATCAAATGCTTGTCGGATGTATGTAAATATTTTGGAGTTTATATTGTGTAAAAAGAAATTCAGTATCATAAGATTCGTAAAATATTATGAACTAATATTTAATGTGTTGTATATTATATTGTTTATTCATTACAGCTTACAAGATTTGTATTATTCTTCACTATTTTCCTTCCCGTGAAAACATGCACAATAAATATAATAATATTTATACTTTCAATCATATTCAGTTTTAATACTCAATAAAGCAAATTTCACTCGTATATCCAGTGTTTTATGAGAATTGCGTTTGATGTTTTTTGTTTTTTGTTTTTTTTTTTATCACCATTAATTGAGAAGTATCTGACACAAAGAAAAAAAACACAAGAAATTCCACTGTAGAATAATAAGTTATATATAGTATATTTATATAGATAGTATATTGGTAAAATGATTTTAATATTTCATTATATGCTTTAATTAAAAATAGAATTCAATTTATAACTGTAATTTCATACTTTAATTTTTGTTTCACAATTCAAAATTTGAAATTACAATTTTAAACCAAAGTTAATGCAGTAAAAATAATCATGAAATAATCTATATATACATAGAGTTAGCCTGCATTTGAAAATTTCTATACTTGAATATATTTTGAATTTTTTTAAAATAATAAAATAACTTTTGCAATATATATATATATATATATATATATATATATATATATATATATATATATATATAAGTACGCATTATTTTTTTTTAAATAAAAATTATTTAATGATATGTGTTGATGTACAGATGAATTTAATTAAAAAGTTATACATTTAATATACATATATTATCATCGCATTTATTATTTTTAATAAATATAGTAATTAATACTATGTAAGAAAATTACTATAATGTTTTTATATAAATACTGTAGTAATAAATATAATTAAATACTATCTTAATATTTATGTTATCATTATCACTCTTTATAACTATAATTTTGTGCTTAAATTCTTTTTCACATATAAAAGTTATAATATATATATATATATATATATATATATATATATATATATATATAATAGAGATAAATTTAAAATTTTAATTTTAAAATATATATTTTCTTGTATATATACTCTTATATTAAATTTTATTATTATTATTTTTATTTAATAATAATTATATATATATATATATATATATACACATGTATATATATATATATATATATATATATATATATATATATATATTTTTTTTTTTCAATTAGAAAATTACACGTTTACAAGACACATGTTGTGTTCAATACATTTATTTCGAAAACGATATTTAACAACAAAAGAAAATTCTGGATAATAGTTTTGTAATATTAATGTTTCCTCAATTTTAAATCTGGTTTTGTCACTAAATATTTTAATTTTATTTTCTTATGTACTATCAGTATATACAAGTTTTAATTGATCGATTGATTAAAAATTAAAACAGGGATACATAAAGTGATTATTATAAAATAGGATTAGACTCCTTTAAACTAAGGAAAATGCGATAAAAATGTTACAAAAACTATTATTTATAATAAGATTGAATATAAATTAAAAAAAATCTAAAACTAAACTATACTTGTCCGCGTTGATTTTATTATTAATTGTCGTTATTGTATTTTATTCTAGAAAAGCAATTTATTTATTTATTTATTTTTGTATATTACCTATTCACTTGTTAGTTATTGTACAAATATAATAATAATATTGTTTCACTTTCATGATCTACAAAATAAAAGTTTACATTCATTAAAAAGACTATACATATTAAATTACTTCTTCCATTTTATTTTGTTTCTCATTAATAAAACATGCAACACTGTTTTAGGTTTTAGAACTATTATTATATATATTTTCAGTACATTTTATATTTTATATATATTTTTTTTTTACCTTTTTTATCCCATATCAATTTGTTAAGAATAAAATAGAAAAAAATTAATACTTGATTAACATGGTAAAATAACAATACAAAGATATTTTCCAAAAATGTCAAACAAGGAAAACCTTGTTTTATCGTTGTTTTGTTTTATATGCAGGGAACAGCTCTTAAGCCATAATCATCTTAGCAAGCATCACACTCTGAACCAAACATGGGTAATAATCTTCTCCCCTTCATCTTCCTCTCCCTGTCCCTTTTCCTCCCCATTTCTGCTTCAAATCTCCACAAAATCAAGCGACTCACAACTGATTTTCCCTCTGACCACACATCCTCCAACGACCCTATACCACCAACCGAATACTTTGAGGTCACAAGACCCATTGTACTCCCCAAAACAAAACCTTTTTCTCATCACATTCTCCACCACGACTTTGGCTTTACCTATGGCCAACCCCCAGTTCTCGCCAACTACACCCCTCCCTCTCACTACCCCTTCAAAACATTCTCCAAAATCGTGCTTGAGTGGAAGGCCACTTGCCAAGGAAGACAATTTGATCGCATTTTCGGTGTGTGGCTTGGTGGTGTTGAGCTTCTCAGAAGCTGCACTGCAGAGCCAAGAGCCACTGGCATTGTTTGGAGTGTCCACAAGGACATTACAAGGTACCATTCTTTGTTGTTAAGTCCCCAAAACCAAACCTTTGCTGTTTTTCTCGGAAACGTGGTGGATAATACCTACACTGGGATTTACCATGTTGATGTCACTATTCACTTTTACCCTTTTGTGAAGAAGCGTTTTGATGATGTTTCTGACTCAAATGTTGGAGCTTCAGCATTTGGGGGTGATGTCCCTGCTGATTTGGTCCTGCCCATTTCGAGAAACCTCCCACTGAATGATGGGCTGTGGTTTGTTATTGACAATTCCACTGATGGGGGTTTGAAGGAGTTTAGGGTGCCCCAGAATGCATATAGGGCTGTTTTGGAGGTGTATGTTTCGTTTCATGAGAGGGATGAGTTTTGGTACACTAACCCTCCCGAGGAGTATCTTATTGCCAACAACCGGAGTGATTTGCCTGGGGGTGGTTCTTTTCGGGAGGTTGTGGTTTCTCTTGATGGGAAGGTTATTGGTGCAGTTTGGCCTTTTACTGTGATCTACACTGGAGGGGTTAACCCCCTCTTGTGGAGGCCTATTACTGGAATTGGCTCATTTGATCTTCCCTCCTATGATATTGAGATCACGCCACTCTTGGGGACCTTGTTGGATGGGAAAAGCCATTCGGTGGGGTTCAGCGTGACGAACGCTTTGAATCTTTGGTTTGTGGATGCAAATTTGCATATTTGGTTGGATGGGAAGAGCAGTAGGACAGAAGGAGGAGTTTTGGATCTTGTTGCCAAGCCTTTGGTTGAGTCTCTGGTCACTGACTTTGAAGGTTTGAATGGAATGTTTTGGACTAGTGCAAGGAGATCTATTTTGTCTACGGGTTGGGTCAAATCCTCCTATGGGAATGTTACTACCAGTTTTGTCCAAGATTTTTTTTACAACAATTCAATGGTGATGGAGAAGGACGGGAATAAGCAAACTGTGAACCAACTGATTCTTTTCAATGACAATGTTCATGTTAACCTTCCATCACCCTTTGTTGAGGACACACACAGAAATCTTTCCCTATACTTGGACTCAGATGAGTTGGATCAGGATGATGATACTTCTTTATTCGTTTCAAATGTTACGTTGGGATTTGTCGTGGACGAGTCTAGGAGCTCGGCTTTTGGATTTTGTGAGAGCTCTCTCAAAAATGTGCAGGATGGTCAGGGTACTATGGTCATCAAAGGGAATTTGGTTGTTAGGGGAGTGGGTGAAACACAGCAAGATTACAGTTATACAAGTGATGATGGACATTGTTATTCTAGGAAAGTTGGCAGCTCAAATTACACAATTCTCTATGACAAAGTCAGACATTCATGTAACAAAAGAAGTCACCCTCATCTTGGTCCTAAATCTATCAAAAAGTTGTATTTTATCTAGGGTCCTTTCTGTTAAGAACAGAGAAGGTTACCCTCCCCTGCTTTGTCCTACGAGTCCTTCCTTTTCATAAAAGTTTGCCTTTAAAGCTTCAATTGCAGGGTTCTCTGCTGCCATTTTAGTTTGTTATTTATGTGCAGCCAAGACTTGTCTGTTTTACTCCTTTTTTACAACAAATATGTATTATGTGATAATAAAATTGTGATTCTCTTCCACCTTTTAATCCGAAATGATTACTTCTCACTGCTAGTTTGCATAATCCGGAAAGTTTCTGCTTGAATAGCTCTTCATTTAACATGCTTACATATTTAGTATTCTTGAATTAATACAAAAGTTTGGTGACTTTGCCCCTTAAAATATTTTTGGGTATCATATCTGAGAGATACCTGGGAAGAACTTTTAGTCTATTCTGGTAGCATTGCTGGGTGTCATTATTTAACGAGTCACATCACTTCTACTTTTGTTAAATACTATTTTTTAGAGTTCCTGCATCTACAAGCATGTTTTAGTTTGAACTTACTAGTGACACACCACCAATATATTAATCTTATGCTGCTTTTAGAGGACCAAATGAAATGAAGTTTATTTGGTCACAGTTGGTGATGTGGTAGAAGCTACGCAAAGAACAGAAGAGTGTGAAATGCTCCATAAACCAAAATAACATACAAGTGCAAAATAATGTTACTCCATGAGAAGTATCGTTAAAGGTTGGTTTCCAGGAGGTTAAGCTTTCACACTTTAGCAGAAAGGAAAAACAAATGATGCACACATGATAGAAGCAGTACTCCTTCGGGTTCTGATAAACATAGAATATACGATTACAAATACCGTATCATGCCATGATTCTACATGATTAATTTTTTCCATATTTAGCTTGGCATGACAGCGATGCACAGTGATGCACATTAATGTCATATCTGTTAATAGACAAATTTAGGATACCGACTATAATGGTTAGCGTAATTATAGCCTAGAATGTTTCTGTATTTCATGTATATATTGTGCTATCATATTCAATACAAGACAGGGGTTTTTGGAAATATTTTTATCATGGTATCGGAGCGAACCAAACTCCGATATCCAACGGCCCGAGAACACGATCGTACTTCTAAAATGGCAGAGAGAGGAGAGACGGTGAAGAAAACACCATCGCCATACGATCTGAGTGCCAGTGATAATCCTGGAAATGTGATTACACAGGTACAATTACGAGGAGAGAATTACGAGGAATGGGCAAGGGCCGTGAAGATATCTCTGCGGGCTCGAAGGAAATGGGGTTTCATAGATGGAACTCATAAGGAACCTGAAGAAGACACATCCGAGATAGAAGATTGGTGGACAATTCAATCGATGCTTGTATCTTGGATACTAAACACTATAGAACCTAGTTTGCGTTCCACTTGTTGCATACATGGAAAACGCAAAGGACCTATGGGATGACATCAAGGAACGATTCTCGATCGTGAACGGACCAAGAATCCAGCGACTAAAGTCGAGTTGGCGGAATGCAAACAACAAGGAATGACTATGGTTTCCTATTATGGGAAGTTGAAAACGTTGTGGGATGAACTGGCAAATTACGAGCAAATCCCACGAGTGTAGATGTGGGGGATGCAAGTGTAATATTATGACGCAACTTGAGAAACGAAGAGAAGAAGAAAAAATTCATCAGTTCTTGATGGGGCTAGATGATGAGGGCTATGGAACTGCACGGTCAAATGTTTTGGCAACAGATCCATTACCCTCGTTGAATCGGGTGTATGGCACCATGGTGCAAGAAGAAAGGGTGAGAACAATCACCGGGTCTAAAGAAGAGCGAGGAATGATCGTGGGAATGGCTATGCGAGCGGAAACCGAGGAACAAGTTGCGCAATGAAGCGAAAGAAAAATCGGTTGTTTGCATGCAGGTGTGGAAGGAAGGGACATGACAAAGGCAATTGCTTCAAGATCATTGGTTACCCAGAATGGTGGGGAGAGAGACCACGAACCGATAAAAACGATGAAAAAAATCAACAAAGAACAGGAACCTTCCGAGGAAAAGGAGGAACGGCTCGCGTCAATATGGCGACAACTGGTGCGGATAACGTTGGTTCAACCGAAAAACCAGAAGTCGCGGGACTGAGTAATGAGCAATGGCGGATCTTGACGACAATGTTGAATTCTCGCAAGGCAAATGAAGCTGAAAAGATGACTGGTAAGAAAACATGTGACTTGTGGATTATTGATAGTGGCGCCTCTAATCATATGACAGGAACACTAGAAAACTTGAGGGAGAGTCGAGCCTTGGAAGGGTGCCCAGTGGGACTACCAAATGGTGAATTGGTGCTGGCAAACAAAGAAGGATCGGTTTTCCTTGATGGAGGACTGAAACTTAAACATGTTCTATATGTTCCGAAATTGAATTGCAATTTGATTTCAGTATCACAATTGACGAATGAAGTAAAATGTACAGTACATTTTACTGATAAATTTTGTGCAATGCAGGACCACACTTCGAGGATGCTGATTGGTGCGGGTGAACGAAAAGAGGGACTCTATTGGTATCGTGGTGTGAGTGGCATAAAGGCGTATCAGACCAATGCAGAAAATCAACTAGAGATTTGGCACAAGCGAATGGGACATCCTGCCTACCAGATTGTTAGAAAAATTCTGCATCTGAACAGCGTGAATAGAAATACGGATACAACTCATGTGTGTGAAGTGTGTGAGAGATCAAAGCAATGCGAAACACATTTCCTTTAAGTGATTTTCAAGCATCCAATATATTTGATTTAATACATTGTGATGTATGGGGTCCATATAGAACTCCCTCGTCTTGTGGTGCATCTTACTTTCTCACTTTGGTTGATGACTGTTCTCGAGCTGTGTGGATATATCTCTTGAATAATAAGAAAGATGTGTCACAAACCTTAATGCATTTCATCGCCTTAATAGAACGACAATACGAGAAACAAGTCAAAATATTACGAAGTGACAATGGAACTGAGTTTATGTGTCTTCAACGATATTTTCAGCAACATGGGATACTCCATCAAACCTCATGCACTGGAACACCTCAGCAAAATGGGAGAGCCGAACGAAAACATCGACACATCCTAAATGTAGCTCGTGCTTTACGATTTCAGGGAGAACTTCCACTTTAATTCTGGGGAGAATGCATTTTGACCGCAGGATACTTGATCAATCGTACACCCTCAACCGTTCTCCATGGAAAAACTCCATATGAAATATTGAATGGGAAGCCACCCACTTATGACCATCTACGGGTATTTGGATGCTTGTGTTATGCACATAACCAAGATAGGAAATGTGACAAATTTGCAAGTAGAAGTCGCAAGAATGTATTTGTTGGATATTCAATCGAAAAAAAGGGCTGGAAATTGTTTGATCTGGAAAGAGAAGTCTTCTGGACTTCGAGAGATGTTAAGTTTGTAGAACATGAATTCCCGTTTGCCTATCTTGCCCACAGTAGACATTCAGAGGTAGGATTGCCTACTGTTGATGTTGGCATTGTCGAGGAAGCATTGCCTGGACTTGGTGCAATGAACAATGCAGAACATGTGAGTTGAAATGGCTTCAAGGCCTTCTTTCGAGCCTAGGCATTACTCACACCGACCCTATGACTCTCTACTATGACAACCAAGCTGCCCTTCACATTGCCAAGAATCCTGTGTTTCATGAACGGACAAAACATATTGAAGTGGATTGTCATCTTATTCGTGATGAAATACAACACAATCATATTCAACCCTCTTATGTGTCCACTCATCATCAACTGGCTGATCTCTTCACCAAATCTCTTGGCGCCACTAAATTTGGTTCTTTTTTAGGCAAGTTGGGCATTCACAACCTTCATACTCCATCTTGAGGGAGGGTGATAAACATAGAATATACGATTACAAATACCGTATCATGCCATGATTCTACATGATTAATTTTTTCCATATTTAGCTTGGCATGACAGCGATGCACAGTGATGCACATTAATGTCATATCTGTTAATAGACAAATTTAGGATACCGACTATAATGGTTAGCATAATTATAGCCTAGAATGTTTCTGTATTTCATGTATATATTGTGCTATCATATTCAATACAAGACAGGGGTTTTTGGAAATATTTTTATCAGGTTCCCCCTCAAGAAATGTAGAGGTTCCTAGAGAAAGAGATAAAAGAAAGGATAGAAAGTAAAAAGTATGGTGGTGAAGAAGTGTGAATGATAAAAAACTAAATAGATAGAGGTATCATTTAGCTCCAACTCTTTTTTTTTAAAAGAAAAATATGTAAAACGTTTTTAAATTTTAAATTATATTTATTAAATTAATTTTTATTAAATTAATAATTTGATATATAAATTACCATACATTTATTTATTTTATAAAATAATAATATTTTTATATAATTATTATTTTATAAAATAAATAAATCTTTCATGAATTTATTTAAATTAAGGATTAAACAAGTACAAAATAATCTAATTTACACGAACTTTTCAAGTTATTAAATGGTTTTTTTTTTTACTTTTAAGTATGAGATTTATTGAAAAAGAAAGTGTGAAAAGAAATTTTAATATTTAATATATGTGAATTAAGGTGAGTACATATTTTGATTTCATATATGAATTATTTGGTCGTTGTCATTGATTCTTGGAGATTTTACTTATTTATTAAAAATTATTTTTATAATAAATAAAAGTTATTTATTTAAATTAAATATTCTTAAGCAATGTTTGAATTTTTTTTTTTATGAAAAAAAATTGAAAAATGAGTCTTCAATGAATAAGATTTTCACAAAAGATGTACGGAAAGTAGAGTATAATAGAGACAAAAAGAAGCGTTTCATGAGTGTGACGCCAATAGCCTAATTTGTAACACGTGCATGTTTTAGAAACATGGAAAAACACATGTTCAGACGTAAAAGTGGAATGAAACACATTAATATTATAAAGATTAATTAAATACTTCAAAAGAATAAAGCTAACATGGTATGATTAAAAATTGTATTATTTAATCAAAAGCCAAACCTATTGCTAGTAACATGGTACAAGGTGAATCTTCAATTTTAAACATGATGTTTTATTTTATTATGTATGTTGGACACTGTACCTTCTTTTTCTTAATTTTAATTATTGACTCACCATATCAAGTACTCATTAGATTATATGAATTTCACTTCCTATATAATAAGGGTTTGTTTATTTATAATTTTTAATAATAGTTTCTAATTTTCAAAAATAAAATAAATTATTTGATAATTGTGTCAGTTAAAACTGTTTTTAAAAAAGAATTTTTGGTTTTTAAAAACTAAAAAATTAAAATGGATAAAATATCATTTTTATTTATTTTATGTTAGACGTTGAAATCATCCTCCCAGTTTTCTTACGATTTTTTATTGTAATTAATATAATTTATTTCATCTAAAATAAGCTTCAAAATTTATACAATTTATTTTTTTACTTCATTCTTAAAAATAATTTTTTAAAATTGGTTTCTAAGAAATAAAAACTAAATAAACAAGTCTTAAAATCCAAAAGATCCTGGGCTAATGGGGGAAAAGTTTATCGAGAATTTGTGACAAATGTGAGTTAAATATATATATATATATATATATATATATATATATATATATATATATATATATTGCTTTTTTATACTCATTGATTGAATTTGCAAGAGAGTTATCTAATTAAAAGATATTCAAATACTTTTACACAAGTATGTCACTTGGTTTTTCTACTACCTAGGATTAAAGTAAATTAAAATAATTTATTATAATTATATTTATTTCAAAATATATATCGTTTTGAGGAAGAGAATCTATTTTTGAATATATTGTTTACAAAATTTAAGATTGTATTAATTTTACCTTTTTTAATTATATTTATTATAGATAGAGAAATTAACAAGTTATTAAAAATAATTTTAAATTGAAAAATACTAAAATAACAAGAATATTAATGAAAAATATTAACAAATTTATTTAAAATAATAAAAATTAATATTGATTTTGATGTGTATAATCCAATCTTACACTTTATGTATTTTTAAATAGAGGGAATATCTATTTTTAGCCTTCACCAAAATATATAATGCTCTTTTAAAAATAAAACCCTTCTAACTACTTAACTTGTTAATATTGTGATTATTTTAAGTGTTTTTTTTCTTTTCCTTAAAATATCTATAAATATTTAGAGTTTATTGAAATAAAAAAAATTATTGTAAAAATATAATAGTAATGAAATGAAGTTAATGTTCTACCAGCTAAATTAAGAAGGCCCACTAAGTTGTGTGGGGTCTTCCACATCTATAATCAGAAAGCCCAATTAAAAGAATTATCTTGATAAAATAACTTATATAAAATTTAGTTATATGATAAACAAATACTATTAGTTCATTTAAATATATTTTTATGCATTAAAAAAATATTAAACAATTAAATATTTTACATCTTATCTTAATTTTACACATTTGTATTTTCTATTAACGTCATAGGATCTTAGTACCTTTTCCACACATAGTTAAAAATATCACATTCCATAATGTGATCATAACTTCTTTTAAAACAATTATTTGTTGTTTTATCAATATTTCAGTTGAAATAATAATAATAATAATAATAATAATAATAATAATAATAATAAACTTAAAAAAATAAGGAAAATCACTCTTTTTAACGCATTGACCGGTTCGAATGGACCGATTTAATTAAAATCTATTTAAAAACTAGTTTATTTCAGCCCGTTTTATCAAAATTTGATTTGAATACTAATTTATTATTTAAATAATTAAATTAATATAAAATCGATAAATTTTTAAGAATTAATTAAATTTTATTCAAACAGATTTTATTATAAAGAAAAAATTAATAATTAATTTTTTTATAATGTATATAAAAATTATAATTTTTTTTATTTATTTCACATAAATCATAAAATTTTACATAATATTTATTTTATTTTTATGATTAATTGTATTTGATTCTCTAATTTATTTTATACTTTTGTATTTTTAATTATTATGTATAATAAAAGTGATAATACTATTTGTTATTATAATTATTTTTTATAAATAAACTATAATTATTAATAAATTTATTATATATTATTATATAATATTATATAATAAAATTAGTTATTTTATTAATTTTAATAAAAAATTTAAATCATGAATTCATTTTCGGATTAGTCTAATTTTAAAAATTAAAAAAAAAAGTTGGACTAAAAATCTATCAAATCAATATATTTATATCACTTCTTCTAACAACTTTTACTCAGAAATTTTTGCAACAATGACTTATTTATATTATTTCTTGGAAAATATTTGCAATAAATTATTGATTTTTTTACACTCTTGCAGGCAATGATTCATCCAGTTGGTTGCAAGATCAGGAGCACCTGAAAGGTGAAGTGGGTCATGAAAATCATGTAAGAAAAAGAAATAATGAAAGAAAATAGAAAGAAGAATTAGAAAATCATGAAAAGAAAAATAAATTCTGTGAAATAACACTCACCAATGCTAATGGCAACGGATTTGATGAAGTCACAACCTGTAATACAAAGGTTGACAGCATCAGAAGCAGAGGACAAGGAATTACAATGTGATTGACAATCAGCAATGCATTTTGAATAAATTGGAGGATATGGCTGTTGAGGTGCACATTTCAATGCACACTTGACTCTGCATAAAGCTCCATCAGAATCACTTTTCAATTCAGCTTCTGCAAAACCCAACACAATCATCACCATCATCATAACTCCAATACTTTTCATCTCTGCTTTTCTCATCTCTCTTTACACACTCTGTAAAATATCTGTATAACTGTCAAATATCTTCTGTCAAGTTTCACAAAAGCTATACATCAATTTATAGAAGAAAATTGTTATATTTTTTAATTACTCTTTAAAACATTTTATTGATGAAACATATTTTAATAAGAATAAATGAAATATATTAATGATATATATACATATTTAATCATTGATTTATTATTTTTAGCTATAATTATTTTATTTATTGAATGTAACGATTATTTAATTTGACCATGTTTATAAATATTTAGATTAATTTAATTTAAATATAAAAAATAATACAAATATATTATAAATACATTTTTATTTAGAACATCTTCAATCTTATCTAAATATGATAAAAATAATTATACGTTTTCTATTTAAATAATTTTTATTATCCAATATTTAATAATTTAAAAATATATAATTTTTGTAACAAATAGTTAAGGATTTAATAATAAACAAATCACAAAAACTGATTTATAATAAATAATAAAATATTAGTTAATTTTATATTAAAATAAAATAAAGATAAATTTTATTTAATTTTTATATCTGGTTGGGACAATTATTTAATAATATACCAAATCAAACTGAATGGTAAACATCCCTATTAATATGATTATTTATCAAAATTTAATGATATTAAATCTAATAATCTAAATGCATTATATATATAATATTTAATGGTTTTGAACAATGTGAAACATTATAAAATATTAAATTTTTATAATATATAATTATTATGCAAAATAAAACTTATATATATGTACAGTCAAATATTTAAATTTTAAAATAGCTACTTTATATTTTTAGAATAAAATAACAGGTCTAAAAAAACATATTTATAACTCGTAAATTAAATATTTATTGAGATGATAACCTTTTAATATTATATTGAATGATTTGACTACACATTATATAATAAATGTAATATCTAATGGAATTATACAGATAACTTAGTTATAATATTATATATTAAATTATGTAGTATTACTAATATTAGTTGATAAAAGTAGTAGCAATTTTTATTCTTAACCAAATAGTTTAGGGTCATTGAAAAAAAAACAAAATTACTAGCATAACTATTAGTTAATTTTTTTATGAATAAAGTAATATTTTAATTATTTAAATAAAGATATTTTTTAATAATATCTATTTTGATAATTATAAATATTTTATTATAAATTTATATTTTTAACAAATATTTGAGTTTAAATTAATCAAGTAATATAATATAAAATATAGAATATATTAATTATTCATTTGATCTTTATAATTATTTTTATATTTATCATATTTTATCAAAATAGCATAATTAAAAGTTATATATATATATATATATATATATATATATATATATTTGTAAAAAAAACTTTAACTTGTTACGCTTTTAAAAATACATCTTTGTAAATTATTATAAAATATATTATATATTTTTAAACTAAATCCAAATTTTATATTGATCCCTACCTTATATCCTAATTCAAATGTTGAAGATAACTACAATGAGTGAGGTAGCTTGGCTGGACATACAAATCACTTCATGAGACAAATTTTTATAAAAATATTGTGAACTTTATAAAAGATTATGAAAACCAATGAAAAAATGCAGCTTGTTTTACTAAATAGAGATTTTAAGATAGAAATGCAGCCAAAAGATTAACCACTAATTATCAATGGATATCTATTAAAGAAATATAAAACTGTAACAAATTAAAAAAAAAAATACAAGTATGATATAAATAAATATATATATATATATATATATATATATATATATATATATATATATATATATATATATAAACACTTGTTTTAAGTCTCAACTTGATCTTTTTCTTCCATCCATCATGATAAGTATGGAGTGATGGGAAGGTACGTGATAGATTGATTCTTTCTAAGACAATTGCTTGAAAATGAATTTTATGAATGCTTCTTGGAAATCAGTGCAATGTTGATTAAGGTGAATGGATGGACACTTATTCATCTAGTTTTTTTTTTTAATTTATTTTTAAATTTTTAAAAACATTTTTTAAAAAATATATTTAAAGAATAATTTTAAAATAATTATTTAATAATTTTAAGTCAAGTCAAATTAAAATAAAATGGATTAATTATGTTAATTAAATCAAGATAAGTCAAATCTAATTTATCCAAGTTTGGATAAATTGTGTTGAATTTAGTCCAGTCATAATTTTTATCAATTAAAATAAAAATAAATGTATAACGACGAGTTATTTAATAATCATCATCGTTGTATATCTTATACGACGATAGTTATTAAATAATCATCGTTGAATGCAAGGCGATATCAATTATTTAAGGACTGTTATTTAATAACTGTCATCATATTTTTAATATACCCTCCTCGTTCACTTTCATCGTCTCTTCCATCATTTCTCGCACCTCCTTCTTCCTCTTCCTTCCATTTTGTCTCATTTTCTCCCTCTCAGTCGTGTCTTGCACCTCTGATTTACTCCCTGCTCCTCCCCACTCCCTCTGCATCGCGTCCTGCACCTCCATGTCGCTCATGCACCTCCGCTTTGTTGGGTACCAGAAGGGAAAAGAACACCTGCACACAAAACTCAACCAGCGGAAGCACACACCCACAACAAACAATTAAAAACACACAAGATATTTTAATGTGGTTCAACACCTCAAGGTCTACATCCACGAACACACTCAACAATATTTTATTACTCAACATGCAATTTTTAGGACCGAAAAATTGCAAACTCTCACATACAATTTTTTCCCGAAAAAACTATAAACCCTCTCTGACTCACAACTCACTCTAGCCTCTTATACACAAAGGAAACTCTTTTAAATTGTGGTGTCTAATACTTACATCAATCCTTATTTTTATAGTGGTTTCTTTCCACTCTCTTCTTCAAACTACCCAATGTGGGACTTTGGAGGATATCCACACACTGGTACAACATATCCTCCCTTCATTCAAAGTCTCACACTAATCCATCATCATGACTGACCATATTTATAGAAGGAATACTCTTCTTTTCCTTCATGTATTTCAAGTCCTCATTGAATTCTGGACATTTGACTTGAATGTGACCAAACTCTCCACAGTAATAGTACTTAACAATACTCATATCTCTCGGCTGGAATCTTCTACCATGTTAATCACCATACTTTTTCTTTCCTTGCTCACTTTTAGCTAGCAGTATCTGACTATCTTCAGATGATTTATTACCACTCATCATTTGTTGACTCTCTTTCAATGTCCTTATCACCTCATCTAGTAGCAATATATTCCTCCTAGCTAGCAATGATTGCACTAGTGTTTTATAAGATTTGCGTAAAGAAGCTAACAACAACAATGTCTACTCTTCATCTTTGATAGTCTCCCCTACATTCATCAGTTTGGATATTAGCTCATTAAACTTATTAATATGATCAAACACATTACCTTCATCTTCCATCTTCAGTGAGTACAAATTCATTTTCATCATCAATCAATTGGTCAACGTCGTTGATACAAACTTGCTTTCTAACAAATCCCACAATTTCCTTGGAGAGGTTTCTTTCCACATAGTCACTTTGATTTGTGGAGCTAGTGCTAATCGAATTGTGCTCACTGCCTTTTTCTGGATTGTACTCCATTCTGAATCTTTCATCTCAATTGACTTTTCTTCTTCTAAGGCACAATTGAGACCCTGCTGGATTAAATAGTCTTGGATTGTTCATTGTCATAAGGAGAAGTCTATCCTCCCATCAAACAAAGAAACATCTAACTTCACCATAGCCATAACACCGCACTGCTCTGGCCCATGTACTGCTTCTCTTCCTCCCTAGGACAGAACCTCAATTCTTTTCTGATGTGGAAGATCACACAATCAAGACCCTGCTGGATGAAATAGTCTTGGATTGTGCATTTCCATAAGGAGAATTCTATCCTCCCATCAAACAAAGAAACATCTAACTTCATCATAGCCATAGCACCGCACTGCTCTATCCCACGTATTGCTTCTCTTCCTCCCTGGCACACTGCTTCTCTTCCTCCCTAGGACAAAACCTCAATTATTTTCTAATGTGGAAGATCAGATAATATTGCAACCACAGAGCATACTAAGAATTAAGAATCCCACAGAGCCCACCACACCAACAACTCTGATACCACTGTTGGGTACCAAAAGGGAAAAGAACACTTGCACACAAAACTCAACCAGCGGAAGCACACACCCACAACAAACAATTAAAAGCACACAAAATATTGTAATGTGGTTCAGCACCTCAAGGCCTACATCCATGAACACACTCAACAATATTTTATTACTCAACGTGCAATTTTTTGGATCGGTAAATTGCAAACCCTCACATACAATTTTTGTCCCTAAAAACTATAAACCCTCTCTGACTCACAACTCACTCTAGTCCCTTATACACAAAGGAAACTCTTTTAAATTGTGGTGTCTAATACCCACTTCAATTTAGGGATGGCAATTAAACTCGTCCCCGCCCCGAGTTTGACAGGGAAAACCCGAGTTGACCGGGGGCGGGGGCGGGTTCGGGTTCGGGTTTTCCCCGCTTTAAAAAGTCGAGGGCGGGGGCGAGGATGGGTAATGCAATCCCCACCCCGACCCAGACCCAGTCCCCGCCTCCGACTTTATATTTAAATTAAATTTTAAAATATTAATATTTTAAAAGTATTTTCTTTTCTTTTTCTATTACATATAAGGTCATTTTTTTATATATTACCAATTTTTATTTTTCTTCTACCTATTTTTTAATCTTTTTATCTTTTTTAATCTTTTATATCAATTAATTTATTATATTATTCTCTCTTATACCTTTTAGTTTTTCATATTTTCTTAATCTCTCTCATCAATTTGTTTTTTTTTCAATCTTTTCAATTAATTTGATGAACACAGTTAATTTTTTTATTCTTTATCTTTTTCTAAATATTTTACATAAATCTTAATAGTAACTAATATTATTTTATTTATAATTTATATTTATTAGGTTTTATTATG